TCTGTTACAGATCACTGTCTTATACAATGTCAATATCACACATTTTCTAAAATGATGCACTGCAGCCACCTGTTGATTTATGAAAACTTATTATGAAGGAATGCAGACAAAGGTTGAGGGAACCATGCCAAATTCAAATTTCTCACATTACCGACTTATTTAACAAGAAATAAAAATAGAAGGAATTCCTTTCTGACTGTCCCTTATATATCAGTTAAACATTTCTTCAACAATTTAAAATGTATAATAATAAATTTTTATTTTCTAATAATGTTACAATAATAATTTTTTGAATCAGTAAACAATTTTTATTCCTACCTATAAAATTATTCATATTTAAATAAAAAGTTAAATGAATTGCTAACTAACAAAGCCAAAAAGCAAGTATTATTATGAAGCAAGTATTCACAGGAAATTGATAGATTTTGGTTTTAGAATTCATAGTAATTCATAATTTATGTTTTTAAAAAATTTATATTTTCTACAGTTCATGTAAAATTTAAAATTCTAATAATTATTTTCTTCAATCTTTAAAATAATGATTTGTTAAAAACAATACAGTAATAACATCCTACAAAATAGATATTCAATTATTTTGAGAAAGTTAAACTCTGAGCAAAAAAAAAAAAAGTTTTTCCTAAATAAACTGTAACAATAGCTAAGTTTTTGATTCCTTGTACTTGATTCTATAGTATATTATAAAGAAACACCTTTTTGCTAAAAAACAACAAAATTGCTTCATCTCCAATATAATAATAAACAATTCTTTACTACAATTTTTAATAAACTAAGTCTTTACGTTGAAAGAAAAAATTTCTTCAATAATCATTTATAATTATGATTACTAGATTGTAAAAGCGAAGAAATTCTAGTAAACAAATTAAATTCATTGTATTATCATTCAAATTTTATTTATCAATCAACGTAACAAAAAGCTATAAGCTAAACTCAAGTTTCACTCTGTGTGATCACTCTGCACAGACCAAATCAAAGATGATATCAAGCTTTGCTGGGGGGAAAGGGTACTAAGGTTTTTCTAATTATGATAAGAATTATAAGAATCCAGATTAGATCAGATCTGATTTGGACAAGGATTTCCTATAAAACTAGACTGATTTTTATCACATTAGCTAACTGATTAATCCAAAATAAAAATATTTCTTTTCACTATCTCTGTCAGTATTATTTTTTTTCAAAAATGAATAAGCTGAATTTAATACAGGTAGCCCTCAGTTTATGCCAGCTCACAATAACGCAGCTGTACAATTTGCCGTGTAATTCCCTGATTCTCCCTATGCTAGACTGATTTTTGTTTCAGTGTAGATGTATTTACTGAGCTGCAATGTTGTATATTCATTTATATATATTTAATAAAACTCTTTTTTTTCTGTTTAATAATGTTGGGTATGTATACATTTACATTAAATTAATATTAAAACAAATAAAAATATTAAAATACTAAATATTTAAGTACCCATGTATACAAAAATAAAGGAGGGTTATGTCAGATAAAAGAAGTACACCAGAGTTATCTAAACACATTAAGAAGGCACGGCAATTATCTCCCTAGAAACAAAAATGAAAGTTATTCGACAAATGGAAAATGGACAAATACGCCCTAATGTCTGTAGATCTTTTTAACTTCCATCAACTGTTACTACCATCATGAAAAATGCAGATAAAATTAAACACTATGCTAAATACAGTCTATGGCAGTAAATGTAACAGATTTAAGTTATAGTAGAGGTAAAATTTTTGAAAAAAATGGAAAAATTCTTTTAAGCTGCTATAACTGAAAAAGCAAAATCAATTTTTGATAATCCTAAGGAGACAGATGGAGGTAAAGAAACTGTTTTGGGAAGCAAGGGTTGGTTTATGAGATTTAAATCCCGAATTAACTGTCTTAGTGTAAAATTATGTGGTTAAGCAGCGAGTGCTGATGTTGCAGCCGCAGCTGCTTTTCCTAAAAAATTTCAGGGTTATGTAGAACAAGGCAACTATTCTCCAGACCTAATCTTTAACGTTGATGAGACCGGGCTTTATTGAAAAAGATTATCACAGCATAAACTTTTATTTCTAGTGAAGAACATTTTGCTCTAGGTTTTAGTTGCAAAAGATAGATTAATTCTTTTGTTGGAAGCCAATGTTTCAGGAAACTTTGAAACTTAAACTGACGTTAGTGTGTCATTCACAGACAATGTATGCTTTAAAGGTCTAAATAAACATGTTGCCAGTTTATTGGAAATGGAACAAGTAAGCTTGGGTTACACAAGGTGTTTTCACAGATTGGTACACAAGTTATTTTTGCCCTACTGTGCTTTGCTTTTGTGAAGAAAATAAATTACAACCCAAGGCACTTCTTCACTTGGATAATGCTCCAGGACAACCACAAAACCTTGATGAAATAAGAACACCAATGGATGTCAAGGTTATTTACATGTTTCCCAATACAACATCTCTTTTGCAACCAATGAATCAAGGGGTTATTGAAACCTTCAAAGCTTATTATCTCCATAACACATTCATGGAAATGAGAGTTTCAGACACTTCAGACAAACACAGTTAAAGACTATTGGCAGTCTTTTGATATTTTGAAAGGTAATAAAAACATCAAGTTGGTTTGGGATGAAGTTTCAGCAAAATGCTTAAATGAAGTTTGGCATAAACTTCTGCCAGTATTCATGCACGATGTTGAAGTAGCACATCAGGAGAATTTAATTGAAGACATTACCAGACTTGCATGTGATGTGGGATTGGAAGATGTTACAGAACTTATAGAAGCCCATGATCAGCCACTCTCAAATAAAGACTTAGAAGAATTATACAAAGAATTAGATTGTGAAGAGTCAGAAAAGAAAGAAAACGAAGAAGAAACTCCAAAAGTTATGAAAATGGCTGATCTAAAGCATATCCATTCAACTATGGAAAGTTTGACAAATGAACTTTGTAAGTTAGACAACAATTGGGAGCGAAGTGCAAATGTAAAAAGGAGCATCATTGCATCCATTCGACCATATTCTGAAATTCTTAATGAAAGAAAACAAATCTAAAACAATTATAGATAGATACTTTTTTCCGAAAAATGTAAGAGATCTAAAACTGTGAAATATCGTTTGTTTTTCTTAAGATGATTTTAAGATTTTCTTGAGATTTAATAAAAACATTTCACTTTATTTTATCATAAAATACATTTTAAAAATTAAATTTATAATATATGTATTTTGTATTATATTGTATTAATAAACAAAATTATTTGCTTATTTTTCACTTATGTAGAACCTAACCCTATACTTCACCGTAAATATGGGTTCGTTTTACGCCAATTCGATTTGTGCCTACTTTTTAGGAATAGAACTGCGGAGTAAACTGAGAGCTGCCTGAACACATTTCTTAACATTAATCTTGTAAATAATGTAGATAAACTAAAACAAGTCAAACTTGTTCAAATTTTCCATTTCTGCTAAAGGGTGTTTTTTTAGAGGTATACAAATTTAAAATGAAATAAAACACATAAAAATAATGTTAATGGCTATAGTGTTGGCTTTATTTAAAAGATAATTTTATGCCATTAGTGTTTAAACATGATTTTGGGCATATGGGTGCCATGGCTGGCTCGAATGCAGTGCAATTGGGAAGTCCAATTTTTGATCACTTTATCGAGCAACTGGGGCAGTATATCGGCAATAACATGGCAAATGTTGACTTCCAAGTGGTCCAACACCTGTGGTTTATCAGCATTGACTAGTGACTTCACATATCACCAAAGAAAGTAATCCATAGATGTGAGATCACATGATTGTGGAGGCCAGTTCACAGGTCCATTATTATGTGCAAAATTATGCGCTCATCGAACGTTTCCCGCAATAAATTAATGGTGTCACGTGCTGTGTGGCATGTTGCGCTATCTTGTTGAAACCAAAGCTCTGCCACATCAATACCATTCAAGTGAGGAATGAAGACGTCAGCAATCATGGCTTTATAGCACTCTCCATTGACAATAATATTCTGGCCGGCATCATCTTTAAAGAAATATGGGCCAATGATTCCACTTGCCCACAAAGCACAGCAAACAGTGACTTTTAATGGATGTAAGGGCGTCTCAACAAAGGCTTCTGGGTTTTCTCCACTCCAAATTTGGCAATTCTGCTTATTAACATAGCTGTTCAACCAAAAATGAGCCTCATCGCTGAACAAAATTTTGTGTTGAAAAAGAGAATCAAGCTGAATATTGTTTTCAGTCCATTCACCAAATACACGGCATGCATAATGGTCACACAGTTTCAACTCTTGAACAACTGGATGTTGTAAGCTTGTAAGCCAAGATCTTTCCACAAAATCTTCCACAAAGTGGATGGGCACAGCTCCAACTGCTATGCACGATGGTGAATCGACTCATTCAGGTCCTCCTCAACACTACGCTCCACACCAGCAATAACTTCTGTGTGCACTGTATGGCGTCTTTGTGAATGTGTATTATCAACTAGAGTGTGCTTGGTGTGAAAACGATCCACGGTTTTCCAAATAACTCGCTCAGATGGACGATTATGTTGACCGTAAAATGGATGTAGCACACAGTAAGTTTGGCAAACTAAACCATGATTCTCAAAATAAATTTGCACAATTCGCAAGCATTGTTCTGGCGCAAGTCTATTCATGGTGAAATGGCAAAACGTACTGACCACAAATCAACTGTCACTAAATTTGAATTTAAAAACAGTGTTGCAAATTCAAAAACCAAACCTCTGGCAACACTGTTCTGTTGACATGTTTAAACACTAATGGCATAAAATTATCTTTTAAACATGGTCACCATGCTTAAAAGATAATTTTATGCCATTGGTGCCAACACCATGGCCATTAACATTATTTTTACGTGTTTTATTTCATTTTAAATTTGTTTACCTCTAAAAAAACCACCCGTTACAATAATATTTTTATAACTTATAATAAAATGTACATGTAATAATAATTAGATTAGTCTACATAAAACAGTTCTTTACCTGAACTATATGAATGGGAACCATATCCAGTGGGTTTCTGAAATTGGGCATTTGGAGATGCTCCATGGGCATTTGTTGCAGGTGAGACCTAGAAAAATCATACTTAAAATGAACACATTAATTAGAATTGAACGTATCTTACATTATGCAATGTATCTATGGGAGAATTTTACTTAGATGTTACCTATGGTAGCACTTTGGAAATCTCGACAACATGAGTCATAGAATAGTTATACACTAAGACTATGGCATTTAATTATTTAGCCCATGTGATTATGCCGACTTTGAGTAGCCCACTTGACTGTTCGTGGCATACTCAATGTTATATAGTTTTGAGGTGGTGTGGGGGCTCGCCCCATCCGGGTGTTGAGGTCCAAGCGATAGCAAACACTGAGGCACATGCTACATGCAAAGCATGTAGAATAGGTGGTAGATGATATGTGCTAAAAACTAACCTTTGCACCATAGGGAACACCTAAGTAAAATTTTACCATATCTATTTATAGTTTACTACTTTTGAAACACAAAATTACAAAATTTCAATTTTCAATATTTTCAAATGCATAAATTATCTACTGTAAAATGAACCATTATTATGAAATTTTAAAAAGTTTTTTTAAAAATAGACTATTATAATTATTTGATTAAAATTTAATATAATGCATAATAAAAAAAAATTTATTTTGGACTAAATTATTTTTAGAAATACAGTGGTGCCTCGTATAACGTATACCTCGAATAACGGATGATGCAAAAACAACGGACTTTATGTTTGGCCGTTACATGACTCGAGCAACGGACTGGCTGCGAACAATGGATTTTCCGTTTGGCAGTTACGTGAGGCGAACAAAGGACTTTTTGTGAACAAGTGTGAATGATGTTTCCATTCTTTTGCCGTTGCTAATGACAATCTTCTATTTTTATAATATATTATTAGTATATCTGAAGTACAGAGCTCCCGTTGGGATTTGGCTTGCTTCCTTGTTTATTATGCACATCACCTCAGTGCAGGGTTTTTACATTTATTCAAGTGTTGGGCAAATCACGGCTTCTAAAAAACAGAAAGGTGATTTCAATTGAAACAAAGTAAGAAATCATCAGAAGGAGTGAATGTTGACAAAAACTTCCTTGCCAAATGGGAAGAGTTTCAGAAGTTTACCAACACTCATTATCCAAACAGAGCTGAGGCCAACAGGATCAATCATCTCTACAATGACACCCTTGCCCGTCATTTCCGACAAGTATTGAAGAAGAGAGAGAAACAGACCACCTTGGACATGTTTTTCAAGAAGCCATCTTCCAAAAAACAAAAGGTGGAACAAGAGGTGTTGACCCTGCAAGCTCCGGTAGCCTCTCCTGAATCTGACTCCAATTAAAAAACAATAAAAAGAGACCTGCTGCAATGTGTAAAAAGTCTGTATCTGTATGAATGTGTGAAAAAAGTGTTCCTCCACCTCCTCCTCACATCTGACTACCTGGCATAATTGGTGACTGCTCCATTTTCATTTTTTTTTAATGGTACAGTACAGTTATTTTATACTGCGGAATGAATTATGTTTTAACGTATTTCTATGGAAAAATGCATTTCGTATAACGGACATGCACCTGGAATGGATTAAGTACGTTATACGAGGCACCACTGTATTTGAAATTATATATATTTTTTAAAGAATGAAATCTTTGTACATAATCAAATTGAACATGAATAATCTTATAAAATAAATTACTTTATGTTTTAACTTCTACATGTTCAAACAAATACAATATAAAAATCTAATGCGTATCAAATAGTTATTTTTTTCTTTCTAATAAATATTAATGTACACAAGAATTTATTTTGTTTCAATTTCCATTTGTTTCAATAATTTCTTGGAGAAATTATTGAAACAAATGGGTTGTCTAAAGCAGCAAATTGTGCCAGGACACGGAAGTTGGAAATTGCCTATCAACTTTCCAAAGACATTTACAACAAAAAATCAATCTCCATTAATGCAAAAATTAGACATTAATAACACAGTGATAAAACCGCAAGCACTTTATGCAGCAGAAGGTATTGCTACTCTTAAAATGGGGGAAATAGAAAATATGGAGAAAAAAGAGAGGAAGATCCTTTGAAAAATTCTGGGGCCAAAAATAGATGAACATGGTAACTACGTGCTAAGGAGCAATAAAGAGCTTTATCAAAAAATCCCAAGACTCGGATACAATTCGGAGAAGATGAGTAAGCTTCTTTGGACATATAAAGAGAATGGGGAAAAATAGGCTAACGGAACAAATTTTTACGTATTTCAACAACCTGAAGAATAAGAATCAATGGATCAATGACACTCAAAAAGACATGGCAGAAATGGGCATATCGGAAGAAGATATCCAGAACAGGGAAAGGTTTAGAAACAAAATAAAGAACTTCAAGGGTTTTCAGGAAAAGGAAAGTAACAGACGTGGAAGACTCTTCACTCAGGAGCAAAGACAACAGCAGAGCGAGAGAATGAAGAGGTATTAGAAAGAAAGGAAGAAGAACAAAGGGAAGGGAAGAGGGAAAAGCAAGTCATAATTAGTTGTTTGTATGTGGTCCAAAGATGGCCGGAATCGACACAAGAAGAATGTACACAATAAGATCAACTGAAATTTTCACCATTAATCCCATAATTCAAAAAACAACATGCTCTATCATTTTCTTTTAATTAGATGCATCAAAATCAATTTATATTTGATATGAAATATTTTAAAATAACCATTTGAATATGCAGAAAACTACATAAGTTTATTTGATACATTTAAATAGTTTTACTATAAAATTCTCTTTCTTGATCCTCTAAAATATTTAGAAAAAACTTTTGACCATTGACAATTGAGGAGTTTAGCATAAAAACAGCATATTTCACAAAACTACAAAAAAATGAGTTAATAAATTTGGATTTGTCCATCAACAATCCATCTTCTAAGAAACTTTCATGGTTTAATTGCATGCCTCCCAGATTGTACATTCACATTAATAAAACACAGCATATTAAATAGCTGGCAAATTGAAACAAATTCTTTTTCTCAAAAACTTTCTAATTTGAGGGATACCATTCTTCCACAAAGTTCCTCAATTGTCAATAGACAAACTTATCAAAAGATAAAATAACAAATTTATAGAAAACATTTAAAGTACTTTTATTATAAATAAAAAACAATTTTTATATAAAAATTTGTTTTAATTATTTTCTATATTTCGTATTCACATACAAAAACTGTTATATAATAATACTCAAAACTTCAAAAATAAATGTAAAGACAATGAAAGTGATAAATTTACATTAGAAAATTCACATTACAGTATCGTAATAAGTTAGACATTTTAGAAATATTTAGGTAAAAAAAAAATTATTATATATTTAATTATCATAATTAAAGTATAAAATTTGGTAAATAGATTACATAAACATTTTAATGATTTAATTAAAAAAGTAAATGAAGTGACATTTTAAACACACATTTGCCAATCTCTAGTAATCAATCCAAACCATCATGAACTGAAAATTTTTATTCATAGATATCTGAGGATATAATATGCAAAAGGATTTTAGCAATCTTATAAATTTCGTGCATTTAAATAAATCTGCTGATATAAGATTGATAGCATAAAAACTTTTCTGAAACTTATTTAGTATAAATAAAATTTAATTTAATTTGCATAAGAATTAACTCTACATCAATTTCAAACAGAAATAAAATTATCCAATATGATAACCAGGAGTGTTTATATATTGTCTCAAGCATGATCTCAATTATGTATTCTAAAATTTTTATTAAAATAGGAACTTTTAGAAATGAGTTTTAACAAATCAACTTATATTTTTTAAAATTTCAAAATAGGCTCAATTTTAGGATGTGATTAGTTTGTAAATGGGTCTTAAAATTTGCTAAAAATAACTTAACTAAAAAAAATACTAAAAATTATAGTAATAAATGATGTAAAGTTGTATTGTGATTATTAATAATCAAACTAAAAATGCAACAAAATAATCTACAGTTTAATAAATTCAAAACATACCGAATTAAGTGGAAAAATAGGTGGAGCATAATGATGGATGCCCCCTGCCATCATTCCTCCAGGGAAATAGTATCCATATCCAGGAGGTAGAGGTGCAGGATTAATGAAAGGCTGGCCATGAGGCTGTGTTGATTGACCCTGAGACAATGCTGTTGATACTGCTGCTACTTCTGTTTCACCACGACTATATTTAACATCAGCAACTGCAAAAGAGATAGAATAAAGATTAATCATCAAAATGAGTTACCATTAAAACACATTCAGATTTTTGATTTTATAATAAAAATAAACTAAATCATAATAGTAAAAGTATATTATAATAGTAAAAGTATTACATTTTGCAGTCATACCCGTATATGCAACATTTCCAACATTAGGATCACGACCAGTCATACTTGTTGATGCTTGAAATTGCATATCATAATAACCCTAAAAAGTTTTAATCCAATATTTTAATTAAAAAAGAAAACTAGAATATGAAATAAATATACAAAAACTTACATAGAATGGTAAACCTGCTTGACCCATTATGTACTGATGTCCTAGCATGGCTGGAACACCTGGTGGGATGTTAGGCATAACTTTTCCTGCTATAAAAAAATTACTACCAGCTACTTTCAAACTGAAAATATTCTTACCTCAAATACATACTAAAATCTGAAAAAAAATTTTTAAGCAAAAAATTTTTTGCGAACTTACTTGCAGGTAAAGAATTCTTCAAAACTGATGTTGTTGTGGTCGAGGAAGAACTATTTAATCCTAATGCAGAAGTTGCTATTAGGCCTGCACAACTGCTGACTACTGCCGAAGTAAGTGCAGGTACATTCAATGCACTTGTGGTGACATTACTTAATTCATAATTATGCTGTAGAAAACAAAAATTTAATAGTTTGTTTGAGAATAAACAGTTATTGTTAAAAGTTTTCAAAATTCATACTTGAGCAGTATTATGTTGTACATCTCTAACACCATGACTTAGAGAACTACCGAGTTTTGAAGAAATTGAGGAAGAGTGTAGTGGCTGCTGAGAACTTGCTGCCGCAGAACTATTATATCCTTGTTGGTTTGCAAAATTTGAAACACCATATCCAGAAACACTGTGAGAATTATATGCTATAAAAGAAGATTATTTTGTGAATATTAATTTATACTTTATTTAAACTTTCATTTCTAAATCTAATATCCTAACCAGTTTGTGATCCATGATAAGTGCTGTTGCCTGAAGACTGTGTAGAACCACTGTAAGCAGACTGACCCATTACATAGGAAGTTGAAACTGCAAAATTTTGACTTTGTGGGACAGAAACATAGCTATTTTGTTGTTGATTATTTAGAGAAGATAATGGAGAATTAGAATAACTGTTACTGGAAGGCGTTAAATTTGAAGAATTTAGAACAGATGATTTCTGCCCCGTATATTGACTTTGATAACTTGTAGCACTGTTTCTGTGACCAGAATAACTGTTTACAGTTGGATTATCAGAGGAATTGTTTTCTAATGTGCCTGAAATAATTGAATTTTTTTTAAAATCCTATCTATCAATCATTTTTACAATAATTAATAAAAACAAATAATGAATAATTTGATACTTCTAAAATCTGTAATAATATGATAAGATTAAAGTACTGTACACTTCTTTTCTTCTGTAATAAAAATACTATCTCTAAACAGATTATTGTTAAAATTTAAAAGGTCTCTTACAGAAAAAGTTAATTTTTCAATATGCATTGTATTGTAGATAAATATTGTGCATTACTTGAATGCTAATTTAAATTTAAAATGTAAAACAAAATTTTTTAAACAAATTTATTTATCTATTGCTCTTATCTCTGTTTTCCTCCCATTTTCAATTATAAAATTAATAGTATTAAATAAAATAATTAAATTTTATTTTGAAAACTTTTCATTATCTAANATAAAAGCTACGAGCCTCTGATCGGTAATGTTTTTACCATAAGGACATGGTAAGATGTTTCGTTTTCGACTACGAGTGACGTCAAATAAGAAACCAATCAGAAGCGTTTCTTCTCTATGAGGCAACCTTATATTCTAAGACCTTGAGCGCAACCTACTTTTGAAGCCTCTTGTTCTAAATACTAAATAATGCTACCAAATCGATTTATTACTGAATAAAAAATATACTAATCAATCAATTTAATATTCAATGAAATTATACTAATAATCGACTAAACTTCAGTGAATTTTACTGTTTTGAATGGGTCCTTGCTGTTGATTATAATAACCAGTAATTATAATAAACAGTGCTTACTAAATATAGCATAAACAATAATATAATACACGAATTACGTTTAATAATGTTTCGTTCGCTAAAATCCAGGAACGAGTAGCATAACTTTCCGCGCCATCTTTTATGAAATTTTATTTTGAAAACTTTTCATTATCTAAGAAAATAAACAAAACAAGTTTGCTTGGAAGCAATTTTCTAAAGCTATAAATTCAGTTTATTAAATAGTGTGTACGCTCTGAAAGTGCACTTAAGCAGCTTTGATAGGATTCATAAGTTATAATTTTATATACAAGCTCAGGGAGAATAATTTCTTAACTGTTTTATGATGTCTTTGAAAATTTTTAGTTATATACATGCATTATTATATAACTGCCTTTGTAATTTTTATTAAATTATGCTTAAAATTCAATCTGAATATTCTATAATCTAAAAATAAATACAATTTTAATTCTCTTTGATCTGCTAAAAATCTGGAGTAAGAAAAATCTGAAAAACAATTTAAACCTGCTAAAACTAATAGAAAATTAAAATTATATAATATGAAATTAAAGTATTTTTTTTACAAAAATAACAATGAGAATATACAATACCATCTAAGGTGGTTGTTTGTCCAGCTAAATTTCCATATGCTGAGATTCCACTAATTTCTCTTCTGTCTTTTTGAGATGTCAGAAGAACTGAATCTGATCCAGTCACCTAAAATATGGAATTTTTTAATATATATGTTTTTTAAACCTTATTTTAACACATTCACGGTGTTACGAGGCACATGTGACTTGTATGAACATGTCTAGTTAGGGCTACAGACACAATTGCTTGTTTTTCCGTAGGGCAGCGCATATGTTTTGATAACATAATTCTACAAACATCATACTTGATACATCAATATTATTTTATTAAGTGCAATAAAATATATTAATTTAATATACGAGGCACAGGTGACTCGTGACGCCCAGCAGCTGCCTAAACATTTATCTACTGATTCTGTGAACATGTTAATGAAAATTACTTGATAATTTCCAATAAAATTAATTGATACTAACTTTTGAAACATCTGTCAGAGAGGTAGAATGATCCTTTTCAGCTGAACTATGTGAAGTGTTGTTTCCTGTCACATCTGTACTGTGTGAAGGCATTGTATAATTTGTATCTTTATTCAATGTCACAGAAGTAGAAGTCTGCGTGTTTTGGTTACTATTTGTTGATTGATTAGAATGGCTTGAAAAAAAAAATTAAAATAAATTATTACTTGATATAATTTTATTAGAACATTTTAAAACAAAAACAAATATTTACTGCATGGTAAATGGTTATTATAATCCAACATGTACATTTTTAAAATTTGTTTTATTCCAAAAATGGAATGTTGTAAACTGTTATATAATAATTGATAGCTTTGTTCTTTTTAAATTGTAAAATTCAAAAATATCTTCTGAACAAGATCGATTAAGACAATAAAAAATGTTAGAATAATAAATATTTACTGCATAGTACAGAAGAATCTCATTTTAAAGGATATCTCATGCTGCCAAAAATCTGTTGTTCCAAGAATGTTATATCATAAACAATGGATTTCCCACACACCTATGAAAATATCACCAATGTTATTTCACACTGCATGCACAGTTATTCAAAAATTTTCCATTTTTAACCACTACATGTAAGAAATACCAGTACTGAAATTATTCAGTCTCCTGTAATCTCTCTTTATTCTAGAGAAATGGATATGTTACAAGATCACATATTAAGATGTATGTGTACACAACAAAGCTGATGGAAATTGTATATACTGTAAGCACAGAAAGAGGCAAATTACATATGCTCATTAGCACTTTGCTTGACTTCACAATTTGTTGAAAAACTCATCCACCTTGGTTTGTTTTGATGTCACTTTTCTGTCTATTGAATACAACAGCCAATTGATATTAGCAAGGCCATGTCATGTTATAACCTGTTTGTTCATGCCAAAACTTATCATGAAGCTCTTTACAACTTGGAAAGACTCATTGACATCACTAAGTTTCAGCATCACACTTGGACCAGATCAAAATGTTCGCTAGGTGGCTCCTCCTCAATCGTATCAGCGCAGCAACTCCCTTCATACAATTCTTCAATTGTACACACCCTAGTTATCAAACTATAAATTTCCAGTAACACCAAAACATTAAACGTTGAAAAAAAATGAAGTTTACAATAGATTGGGGTAGAAAAAAATCCATTATTCCAAGTAATGGAGCCTCTAAAAGGAGGTAAAATTATATTGATCTGGTGGGACTGGGGAAAAAGTCTGTTATTCTGCAATCCGTTAAAATGAGATTCTACTGCAAATTGTTACATTTCTTGTTAATGCTAGTGCAGTTACAAAAAGAAATTTAGGTAATTTAATCCAATTTATCTTAAAAATACCTTTCTGGATAAGCTGATGGTGTTTCTGCTGTATTAAAATCAAATGATACAGGATCTGCTCCAAATTCTAAAGCTCCAAATTGTACATCAAGAGACTGAATAGCATCATCTGGCATCTCAACTGCAGATTCTGGAATCTTTTGAAATAATTAAAAGTAAGTAACAGGAAAAAAAATTGTAAATTAGAAGTTAAAACCAAAAATATGCATACCTTAGAAGGAGGTGGAATTCTAGCTTTCTGTGTCCTCGATCTTGGAGGAAGAGGCTGAGATGAATTTGTTACATGTACAGAATTATTATTTGATTGCTCAACACTTCTATTGAGAGGTGTTTGACCATTAGGTAATGGTGATGCTGCAGAAAAAGGACTCTGATAATTGGCACTGACTGACGTTGCACTATGAGATACACTACTTCCATTCATTACACTTCCCACCTAAATTAACACCCACAATTTAATTCATTGATCTAATTATGAACTAAAACAAAAAATTTCAATATAAAACTTACACCAACAGCTGCTTTGATTGTTTCTGCAGCTTGTTTAGCATACTGACTAAAACTGTACTGATTGTGATCAACTTGCGAAGGATTTTCTGACATTACAGATTCTCCTGAGAGATTAGTCGATGGAATGTCTGATCTCACATTTGCTTGTTGCAACAAAGTTGCTAAATCCAATCTTGAAAAAACAAAAAACACACATATTCATATGCCACATGGCTATATATTCCTCAGATCAATTTTAAAATTAATATATAATAAAATATAATGATGGCAATATTACTTTTTCTAATAATGTTAAAATTAAATACTGTAATGCTTTCTTTAAAATCTTATTTATCCACTACTTCCTGCTTTATTCAAGATCTTTAGAATACTTCCTTTAAATCCTAACTGCTTTTGGCTCATCAAAGGTAGCATTTACAAAAAAACTTTGTAAAACTCAAATTGAGCACTATCAGCTTTCAAAGTTAACCAATTTCAAGCTAACACTAACATGAGCAAATGATCTAATATGACACTTTCAGCTGGACAAATTATTAGATTATCTACTCGCGATGATAAGATTAGCTCAAACAGCTTAGTATGAAGTCAATAATGTTTGATTTTAAATTTTACAATCTCTTTCTGTAATTTTTATCTCAAAGAGCAAAAAGGCTTGAAAATATTTGGGAATTAAGAAAAGTAATCTAAAATTCTCCAATAAAACAGGAAATTAGCATAGTAAATTTTAATCTTTTATTTAGACTTATACTATCTCTGTTTTAAATTAGTTACCATATTTTAATATTTTCTCTGAATATTGGGCAGTATTGGCAGAGTCAACATTTGATTAATAGAATACAACTTTATACATACACATCAATTTAAAATATTTGGAATGAGTTGCCTTACAGCATTTATTATTATTTTTTGTTAAAGGTCATTCTAAAATTTGAAACCGAATAATTCAAAAATGCATCCAAAGTATTTTCAAAATAAAAAAAGACAAATATTTTCTTAACATTGTAAACTTGTATGGAAAGTGCTGTAAGCTGATTCTAATAACTACAAAATCATACATAAAGACACACTAAGACAAGAAAATTGACTATTCTCATGTATCAAATGTAACTCCATTTTTTCTTAAAAATTAAATATTGTTGTTAATGTTTGATTTATATTTTTAAATTAAGAAATATATAGTTGACCCCCCTATAACACTGTTGATTATTCCGTTTTATATGAATTCCATGTTGTACAAGTCACTTAGATTTTACAAATACGTGAGCTGTTCACAGCCCGGCACACATATTTGTAATTTCTTAAAGTTATTTTTTTTAAAAATATGATAACAATTATTTCAAAATATAAGCAACATATCAGAAATGTCATTAAAATATAATCAACATTCAATTAATAAAATCTAAGTTTAATAATACATTATCATTATCTTTTTTATAAAATTTTTAAATAATTATACAATGAAAATACTATTTAATTAAAATATACATAAAAATATACCTTTGTCCTATCTCTGGGGCAGTGTTATTGGGTAATTCAGAGAGGGCACTTGGGGTAAAAACTTTAGTTTCTGTCAACTAAATTATGAATAAAAATTAATATATAGATCTTTGTAACCAAGATGTTTTAAAAAACTTAAAATAAATTAAATTATTAAAATATAAATGCTTTTTCTCAGTTAAAAACATAACTAATTCATTAAATTTTATAAGCAAGTTTTATATTATAAAGATTAAATATTCCAAAGACATATGACTATAGATGTCAATTATAATACTAAAAATGATTTATTAATTAAATATAGCTTAATAAATAACTTTTATTATTATTATTATTATTATTATTACTACAAATAAATATAATTTGCAGCCAGATTTGTAAGATTGTAAGAGTAAACACATTACAATTATTAAACATTATCTAATGTAAATCATTTTCCAAGAGGAGTAATTTTGAGATTAAAGAAAATTTGTTGAAAATAATAATATTATTACAATGTTTTTATGGTAAATTACAAAGATACAAAAATATTACAAAAATTACTATAGAGATAATAGAGTCTTATCACATTGTTACTGCAACATCAAAATGGCACTTCTATGATCAGTTTTTTCATTAGTCATATAATTATTACATAGGAAAATATTACAGTAAAGTAATACTGATATTGAACATCTTGATTCAACATTTTTTTCACACTGCTATTGGTAACATCAAGTTTTGATGTTACCAGTAGCAGTGTGATAAGTCTCTGTTATCTCTACTATATTATTTGTTCCTATGTTTGTAATTAACATAACCAGTACACCTGAAGACCTTGGGGTCTTCAGGTGTACTGGTTATGTTAATTAAAAAAAAATAGTTTATGTTTAGGTTGAAGATCTTAACTATTTTTTCAGGTTTCTGGAAAAAACCTCACCCTAGTTTCAAAAATTTCTATGTATTTTAGGCAAATTACAAGTGATTAATGATATTAGAAGTTGATTGGCCAGTCTGTGAGAAGTTATGGATCATAACTCTGGAAATTTTATCTGTTCTATGTTTGTAGATATTCAATAATGCTCAAAGAAACCGAGTTAACATGTTCTTGTTCTATGGCCTTCAATTATCAAATTATATTTGTCAATATTTTGAAAAAAAAAAAAAAAAAATTGAATCAAAATATTCAATACCAGTATTACATTACTGTAATATTTCCCTATCACATGGCTATATATTCCTCAGATCAATTTTAAAATTAATATATAATAAAATATAATGATGGCAATATTACTTTTTCTAATAATGTTAAAATTAAATACTGTAATGCTTTCTTTAAAATCTTATTTATCCACTACTTCCTGCTTTATTCAAGATCTTTAGAATANCTATATAACAATTATATGGCTAATGGACAATCAATTATATTTTTACTTGAAATTAAGTAACTCATAATTAAACTATTTGTATAATATTTTAAGACTGCATGCAAATTGTTACAATGAACTACTACTGATGCTTCACACTGTTTTAGCCAAAAAATTTTTTACACATAAGGTGCTTACTTTAAAACACTACAATTTTAATTCTTAATAACTTATAATGAAAAGAATATGTAGTTTAAATGACTAATATCAGTACACAAACTTTATTTCATTATATGTTCAACATAACTGCCATGCTTACTTTGGATTAGTGTATTCAAATGCAAATATCAAAAACATGATTGAGAATTTCCTTATTGAGTTGTTTGACAAACCAAGTAATGGATTCCTCTACAATATATGGGGCATTTTTTTTTAAGTGTCTTCAAAGCAAGAATTAAAAAATTTATTTTGCCACTTTCCAACAAATCACTGAATTCCTTGGAAAATGTCCTTCATTTCAGTTTTGCTTGTTTTGTCAAAGCCTACACAAAATATATTTTGTAACAGAACATTTTATTTTTAATTCAGAACATTTTATTTTTATTCTGTTACAAAATATATTTTGTAACAGAACATTTTACAGAACAGAACATTTTATGCAGAATAAGCCAAGTTGTTCTAAAAAAAAATTCCTTGCTCCAATGAAATTCTATGAAGTGACTTCATTGTTGGGCTATTCATGACACTTTCTTGAATTTCTTCCACCTTTGCTTCCATTAGATGCTTTGCTTTTGCAGTGTTTTAGACTCACTATGGACATATTTCCTGTTTCTTTAAACTGTTTGTATAGTCATCAAATTAATTTTCTATCTGGTGCCCATGAAGTTCCACACTCACTCTTGTTGCATGCTTAAGATTAATCTTAGTTAAATATACCACAAAAACTAGCACAAAATAATTGTTAAGTTTAGAAACAGTTATTTTTAACATGCAGTAACTATAGCAGCAATAACAATGAACAGTATGGCTCCAAAAATTTTGATTAATATTATGTAGTCATTTATAATAAAAAAATATACAGTTTAAGTTACCAAGAATTAAAATTGTGGCATTTCAAAGTAAATAACTCTATTGATATTGATACATCATAATTATGATTACATTTCCATAAAATTAAAATGTTGTAAAATTAAGCCTGGATTCAAGAATAGTCTCATAAGATACTATACAGAAGTAGTTGCCAACTTTTCTGACCTCACTGACCACTAAAACTTACAACTTTGAATCCTATCAACCACTGTCAAAAATATTTTTTAAATGATACAAGCATCTATAACCCGACGAGTGACAAAAAACAACCAAACATTTTGTATTTCTTTCATAATACAGTCGACCCCCCTATAACATGGGTTCCTATATCACGGCGAAAAAATTGCAACAGTATTCGTACAAACATGCTAAAAAAACTCCTATAATTCGATAAAACGTCATCGCCAACTCATGTCGCAACAGGATTAGTCGAATCTAGACCAATAGCGGATATTGCACAAACCATTGAGTTTAAACGAGCAGCAGACCTACTAAAAACTATTTATTATTTAACGTCCATAAAAATTATATTTATATTAATGATGTCTCCAAAGTTCAGCAAATCTTTTGCAAAAAAAATAATTTATCAGGAAGCATGCGCGAGTGCCATTTGATGACAAGCTCTATGATAAAAACAAGCTTAAGCAATGGCATAGTTGAACGATGCACAGTCAGTAAGTAATCCTACAATTTTTTGTTTATAGCATAGTTTATATGGATTATTCCCACAAAATTATACATATTTTGGAAATGTTGAGTCGAATTAGTCTAGAATCGATTAATTTTATGGAATAAACCTTTCAAACAGTCGTAGTCCATAAACTGCATACGTGCCGGGCTGTGATTGGCTGGACTCGTAGAAAATGGATTCATAAAAACCGAAACATGTCTACCGTGTTATGGGGGGGGGGTCGACTGTACTTTGCATAACCTTGAGTTTATCAGTGTCCAAATTTCTCAGACTACAAAAATCTTCTCATGGACCACTGGTTGGCAACCATTCTAATGTCATAAAGTACCCAGAAACTAATGATATTTTACATTTCATTTTCACAAAACAGTAATAGCACTTAATAATAAAACAGAAGAGGTTGGTAATGAGAGTAGGTCTTACGACATCAATAGTGACTGTTTTTATTTTAATAGAGCCAATAGAAAGAAGTTTATAAGTGAAGCATTTTCAAAATTTTCTTGCTTCACATGCTTGTGATGATGGAGAAGATATTTTTATTTTGTTAGAATTAAAACAAGTAGAAATTACTTTTAGGTAAATTTATATATAACAGATAATACTTAAAACTTACTTCTACAAAAAATCATAGCTAACTTAGGTATGAAATGAAATTTTCCCAAAATTAATATGGATAGTATAAAAATATTGAAATTTGGAGGAAGTTAACCTTATTTTTTCTATTAAACAAATGAACTATGTTAAATTATAACAAATGAGATTTCTTCTTATGACATTCATAAACAGTTTTAATTCCACTGAGGAATTCTATCAATAGTGCCTAAGTACTCAGATACCACCTTTCCCAGTACATTAACCTAAAAGTGCTATTAGACATCAGAGTACAGTAGAGCCTCGAAAACTCAGCCTAATGTGGACTGAAGGGTGGCTGAGTTTGTGAAAATGTCAGGTTATCGGGAATGGGGTTAAAAAAAATAAGTATGAGTGTTTCCTCAGAAAATACTGTACTGTATGTATTGTTTACTTGAGAATACAACAGAGAATAAACTGCCCAAATACCATTAAACAAAGGAAAAGTACATCTTTTATGAAGGCATAGAGCCTTTACTACATGAAAATGAAAATTAATGAATACACTGTACAGTAATTTACTGATAAGACAAACCTCAGAAAAATACTTTATGAGGCATAAAGCTGTCTTTATCATGAAAATTAATTAACTAAGGATTTTTTTTCCCTGCCAGGGTGTGGCCGAGTTATCCGGAGTGCCGGGTTATTGAGTGCCGAGTTTTCGAGGCTCTACTGTATTCACTAGACTTTTTATGATATCATAGCTTATGATTTGTTCTATGAATACAAGACTTTGCATCTGACAACTTATGATGAATTTTGTTGAAACTTATGAGGTGTTTGTGAATCTGGACCCTGGTCTGTATTTACTAAGGTTATTTTTACAGTTCTACAAAATTTTAGACACTTCCTAAAAAAATTTGTTTTCTTTCTTGTTTTCAGAAAGTGTCAACAACAGCAGATTTAGATGAGACTAATTTTTGATGAGTCAAATTTGAGCCCATCTTACACATCTTGTTTTTATATTTAGTGTTTTAGAATCTCAATCAGTAATAAAAATTTAACACAACATTTAAACAAAGTAGAAACATCAACTAAATCATAACCAAAACATTAAAGTGAAAAATAAGCATGCTTAATTAATAAAAAATTAGCAAGTACAGTAGCCTTTCATTATATCAGTGGTTCTCAACTGGGGGTACATGTACCCCTAAGGGTACGAGCATAAATTGAAGGAGTACATCTAACTTTAATTATAAAATGGTGTATGTTAATCAATTTGCTGTAAATTATTAACACAAGAAATAAGACACGACAAAACCTTGCTTTAAAATATCGCAGTAGGAACATCGATTTCCCTCTTAACAGTCTAAACAACTTGTTTATCCACTTGATTTGCCTGTCTATTTGTGCCGTTAGTGCCGAGCGAACCTGTAGTCTAGTAAGTGGGAACCAAATTTTGAAAAAATTGTTGAAGATTTATCGCAACAAATATCCCATTAAATTTTGTTAGAAATTATTGTAGAATAATTTAAATTTTCTTTATTGTTAATTATAATTATTTATTTTTAGGAAATGTAATTTATACATGAATTGAAATGACTTCTGTGATTTTATATAATATACTTATCAAATAATAATAAATAAATGTATGTACCTGATTAAATTTATTATTATTTATGTAAAATAAGTAATTCACTTTTAGGTATAGTTAGTTAGTTTTTTTATGGCGCTCAGTTATAAGGGCTGTATACATCTAATGCAGTAATTATAAAACTTACATACAAAAATATAAGAGGTACTTGAGAAACAGCTAATGGGCTAATAGGGCACATCAACAAAAAAGGTTGAGAACCACTGCATTATATCACTCTTTTGGGTATTTTGCATTTTTTTTTTTTGGGGGGTCTTCCAAATATTCTTCAGCCAATAATTTTAAAAAAATCAGTTGTCATTGAATTTCTACTGGGAAAGAAACATCTTACTCTAACCACTGTATGAAATACAACCCACAAAAATACAAGTCAAAATGGAGATTGAAAATAGACAAAGTAAGAGGATAGATACATCAGTTAAATTGCACCATCTGATATATTGCTCATTTGATTTCTCTCTCTACATGCAAATTAATGAGAGACTACTGTACTAATTGAAAAATCATTATACTAAAGAAAGTATAACAGAAAAATCATTCAAGTGCTTGGTGAAAATAATAAAATCATCTAAAACTGAATTACTAATAATTTCTCTAACTAAATAGTTTGTACAATTAGATCATTGATTATTATTACAGTAGAGCCTCGATTATCCGACCCCCGATTAACCGACACCTCGGTTAACCGACCGTCCTAGTCGGCAAATTTCAAATGTCCGCTAGTGATGTGGCGCTACAATATTTGGCTGTCTTGGCTACTTTATTATTATTTTTTACGTGTTTTAGCTGGCAACACTCATTCGACCATGAAAGGGAGCCGGTATTTAAACAAGGCTTAATTTTCTAATTTTTAACGATATGATAGTGACGATTATTATTTTAAAAAATTTTTGTTAGGCTTAACATCGATGAAAATTCAACGCGAAATAGGTTAATAGCAATATACTAATATACTAATTACATGGGATATAATAATATACTACACTAATAATGGATTTTTTCATACTTTTCGGTTATCCGACTTTTCAATTATCTGACCAACCCCAGTCCCCAATTGGGTCGGATAATCGAGGCTCTACTGTATTCCAAATAAAATAAAAGCTCTTTCATTTGTAATTAACAATTATCTTTCAAAAGAAATTAAAAAATAATCTTAGATTTTATTGCAAAAAGAAATTAATTTTATATGCAAAATTTTTTCAAAACAAATAATTTGGAGGTATTTAGGTTAGTTAAAATCTCTAAAATAGCTTTTATAAATGAAACTGAATAAAATTACACTTACATATTATTTCTATTCACTATTATATTATAAAACTCATAAGTACAGTACAAGTCATTAATCATTTTTAACCTATCATATTCAAAAATGGTAAATAAAATATACACAGATATTTACACTTTCTGTCCAATCTTCTTCACTCCAATCTTCAGTAGATGGGAAGTCAGACCAATTACCTGTAAATTATTTTTGATGTAATTACATAAATTTAAATTTCTGAAACAATTATAATAAAAATGTGTGTTAACTCATCACACAAAACATTATAGATCATTAGAAAGTTTAGATATTGGCTCATTTTCAAAATATTTGAGATTCAGAAATAGATAAAAAGAAACTCACCAACTGTCATAGGTGTATTATTGGCATCTGCTTGCTCTGCTGTGCTATTAGTCCACGTGTCTATGGACTGTGGAAAGCTATCATTTACTCGATTTTGAAATGTTCTACTTCTATTTCCCCTTCCACGGCCTCGACCTAAGAATGTTTTAAATAGTTTTAAGTGTTATAATTTATGATAGCAGTAAATCACAAAAACAAATGACTCACGTCCTCCTCTATGTCTTCCTTCTGAACTTTGTCTGTCTTCTAAATTACGTTCATTTTTCTCACTTTCTTTATTTCGCCCTTTAGAATTAAATGAAATAAATAAGCTCATTGTTAATACAAATGTAACTAAACTTTAAAGTATAATAATTACATTTTCTACCACTCCCACCCCTATTCAACCTGGGAGGACCACCCCTGTTTCGAGACCCTTCACGAAGTTTAGTGTCGCGATTACGACTTCTCTCTCCTTGTACTCTATTCTCTTTGTTACTTGGACTGACATCAGTACCATTTGTTTCAGCTGTTTTCACTGTTGAAGTCTGACGATTCTTTTTCTTTTTACCAGATAATTCCCATTCACCCTAAAAACAAACAACAAATATTTATAAAAAAAATACAGCAGGAAAGATTCAATATTTCTTGGTTTTAGCTTAAAAACAAGCTTTAAAAACAAAAAACCTAAAAATGTTGATTGCATTTTTTCCTCTTATCTGCCTTTTATCAGAGACAAAAGATAAGGGAAAAAAAACTCAAATATTTTTAGCTTTTCATTTTTAAAGCTTGTTTTTAAGCTAAAACCAACAAATAAATATTTAATAATTTATTATTTTTGTTTAATATAAAACTTTTAAGGATAATTTGTAAAAATATAAAAACAAATATTAGGGAGTATGATATTCTTAAATAATATGAAATCAAACTTTATGTTTCAAATTAAATCCACTAGAACAAATCTTTGATTAATAATAACATTTTTTTACTTTGTCATCCATAAAAAATTTTTATGGTAAAATTAAAAAATATGAAAATGTTGCAGATACTTCTGATCAAGATCAACAAAACACCTGAGACGATGACAATACTTTGTAAGAAGAAAATGTCCTCATTTAACTAAAATTAATATGTCATGCAATACTTTTAATTGTGATTGTTAATTAATTATTGATTGGAAATAAATTATTGATTGCTTTAATAAACGTCTTTCTCTTAGCAACGAAGAAGAATAGTATACTTTTGCTAATTTCTAGAACCTAATCTATGTTTTGCATTAGTCCTTTGTTTCTTATAGCAGGAATTCACATAACACAGCACTTTTTTGGAATGTAACTACCATGTTATATGAGGGATACCTGTATTTACATTTAATATAATTAATCCTCTCTCATTTATCCATTAATATCACTAATAAAAAAATTTCATTTACAACTTGTTTAATTACCTATAAAAAATTATCAAACTACAAGAATAAATTATTGCATACCTCATTCTGTTTACCATCCAACAGCATAACTACTGCTTTTGCAAAATCATCGTCACAATCATGAAGAGCAACAATTGCTTCATCATTTGATTTTCCAGTTAACTCCATAACCTTAAAAAAATTTCTTTTATATAGATACTTGAAAATTATAGTCATTTAATCATTTTTAACCTATCATATTCAAAAATGGTAAATAAAATATACACAGATATTTACACTTTCTGTCCAATCTTCTTCACTCCAATCTTCAGTAGATGGGAAGTCAGACCAATTACCTGTAAATTATTTTTGATGTAATTACATAAATTTAAATTTCTGAAACAATTATAATAAAAATGTGTGTTAACTCATCACACAAAACATTATAGATCATTAGAAAGTTTAGATATTGGCTCATTTTCAAAATATTTGAGATTCAGAAATAGATAAAAAGAAACTCACCAACTGTCATAGGTGTATTATTGGCATCTGCTTGCTCTGCTGTGCTATTAGTCCACGTGTCTATGGACTGTGGAAAGCTATCATTTACTCGATTTTGAAATGTTCTACTTCTATTTCCCCTTCCACGGCCTCGACCTAAGAATGTTTTAAATAGTTTTAAGTGTTATAATTTATGATAGCAGTAAATCACAAAAACAAATGACTCACGTCCTCCTCTATGTCTTCCTTCTGAACTTTGTCTGTCTTCTAAATTACGTTCATTTTTCTCACTTTCTTTATTTCGCCCTTTAGAATTAAATGAAATAAATAAGCTCAATGTTAATACAAATGTAACTACAAACTTTAAAGTATAATAATTACATTTTCTACCACTCCCACCCCTATTCAACCTGGGAGGACCACCCCTGTTTCGAGACCCTTCACGAAGTTTAGTGTCGCGATTACGACTTCTCTCTCCTTGTACTCTATTCTCTTTGTTACTTGGACTGACATCAGTACCATTTGTTTCAGCTGTTTTCACTGTTGAAGTCTGACGATTCTTTTTCTTTTTACCAGATAATTCCCATTCACCCTAAAAACAAACAACAAATATTTATAAAAAAAATACAGCAGGAAAGATTCAATATTTCTTGGTTTTAGCTTAAAAACAAGCTTTAAAAACAAAAAACCTAAAAATGTTGATTGCATTTTTTCCTCTTATCTGCCTTTTATCAGAGACAAAAGATAAGGGAAAAAAAACTCAAATATTTTTAGCTTTTCATTTTTAAAGCTTGTTTTTAAGCTAAAACCAACAAATAAATATTTAATAATTTATTATTTTTGTTTAATATAAAACTTTTAAGGATAATTTGTAAAAATATAAAAACAAATATTAGGGAGTATGATATTCTTAAATAATATGAAATCAAACTTTATGTTTCAAATTAAATCCACTAGAACAAATCTTTGATTAATAATAACATTTTTTTACTTTGTCATCCATAAAAAATTTTTATGGTAAAATTAAAAAATATGAAAATGTTGCAGATACTTCTGATCAAGATCAACAAAACACCTGAGACGATGACAATACTTTGTAAGAAGAAAATGTCCTCATTTAACTAAAATTAATATGTCATGCAATACTTTTAATTGTGATTGTTAATTAATTATTGATTGGAAATAAATTATTGATTGCTTTAATAAACGTCTTTCTCTTAGCAACGAAGAAGAATAGTATACTTTTGCTAATTTCTAGAACCTAATCTATGTTTTGCATTAGTCCTTTGTTTCTTATAGCAGGAATTCACATAACACAGCACTTTTTTGGAATGTAACTACCATGTTATATGAGGGATACCTGTATTTACATTTAATATAATTAATCCTCTCTCATTTATCCATTAATATCACTAATAAAAAAATTTCATTTACAACTTGTTTAATTACCTATAAAAAATTATCAAACTATAAGAATAAATTATTGCATACCTCATTCTGTTTACCATCCAACAGCATAACTACTGCTTTTGCAAAATCATCGTCACAATCATGAAGAGCAACAATTGCTTCATCATTTGATTTTCCAGTTAACTCCATAACCTTAAAAAAATTTCTTTTATATAGATACTTGAAAATTATAGTCATTCTCATAATTACATAATTGAAAGTCCAATAAAATTTCTATTTTGCCAATAACTTTAGTACTATACACAACAGAAAAAAAATTCAATTACTTATTTAACATGAAAAATGTAATTACAGTAGAGTGTCGTTTATCCGAAAGCTGATTATCCAAAACGTCCATTATCCGAAAGCATTCCAGTCAGCAAATTTAAATTTTCGCTAGTGCTGTAGCGCTGCAATCTTCGGCTATTTCTCGGGTTACTCAAATATTTTACGTTTTTGATACTAAATTAACATCTGAAGTATAATTTTTTATTGTTTTTATATTTTTCAATAAATTTATTTTGTTTGTACAAAATAAAAAAATAATTTTTAATGATACAATAGTCTTCGTTAGGCTTAACACCGACGAAAATTCAACACAAAGCGACACGCAACGGAGAGAAATTTCAACACGGAATAAATTAATATATTTTTTTGTACATGATTCGTTATCCAAACCACCCCAGTCCCCAATTGATTCGGATAAATGACGCTCTACTGTATTCAATTCAGTAAATAATAAAATTGTTTTAAAAACTGGACATTTGAAACTATTAAATAATCTTCTATCAATGTTATTAAATTATCATCAGTTCAGACATGATGGCAATCCAAAATAACATTTAATTTTGAATGTGAAACAGCTTTACATTTATCAATTATAAATATTTCCTGAATTAAATCCCACGGAGTTTATTATTAAAAATGTAAATTTCCTCTGGGGTTTATCCAAAGTCCCAGGATTTTCTCAAGGTCAAGGTTTATTATCTTGAAACAGGAGATGAGTGGGTAAAAAAGAAATATCTAATTGCACATACATTTTTGGAACTACTAAAACTGTATTTATGGATTACAGCTATGACATTTGAAATAATTACTGTTCTCACACTTAACCTGATTAGGTGTCTTTCGATACAGTTGTTATGTTGTTATTTCTGTCTGTTTCAATGTGTCAGAACCAGGAAATAAATTGGAGATGGTGAGTTTGTACCAGGAGATGGTAGTTAAGATAACTACGATCTCTGGGTACAAATTCACCATCTCCAATTTATTTCCATAATTACCATTTAGCTAGTAAGTTCTCAATTTATGAACTCAATTAAAATTTTCCCACATTCAATATTTAACAATATTTATAATTTTATTTCCATAAATTTTTTTGCAAACCTTGGAAATCCAGCCCGAACACTGGAAGGATTGAATTGGAATAGAAAGTGCTGACCTACTTTAGACAATATGGAAAGATAAAATTTTAGTTAATTTCTTATCTGTCACTAAACTACATTATCTAATACTTTGTAATATACTTTAACATGCTTTCCATGCTTTTCAACCTGAGTTTATTTGAAGACTTTGGGTTTAATTGAGAAAATAAAAAAAACACAGTACATAATATAAAACATTCTTTTAAAAGTTTTGTTTTCTAATGAAATTAATTCATTCCTATTAGTCAATTTTTATAAAAAGTATTTTATTTTTCATATTGTATAAAAACAGAACCTATAGGCTGGCTATAGGCTTCTCATACATATATTTCATTTGCATATATGATAAAATTTGTAATGAACTTGATTTATCCACTTATCTCCAAAACAATTACATAGATATACACAGTATAATATATCAATAATTCTAACTGCATTGTTTTAACAGTTAAATATTTTGTTAGTATTGAATTGCCTAAAAAATCCATGCCAACTTTAAGTTTGATCACAACAGTTTTGTATAAATTCAAGCTATAAATATTAAAACAATTTGAGTAAATAAATTAGTTTAGCATTTATAAACAATTAAAATAAGCAAAAATAAAATTACTCAAGATAGGCACATTATATGGGAGAAAAAGCTATGCCACAAAAAGAACCTATCAAATGATTTCAAAATTTCAGCAGAATAATTTTGACATAAATGAATTCATGAATATACTATCTGATAAAAGTCATTCACAACAAAACCAAATTGAAAATAAAGAAAGCAGCATTTTAACTGTTTAAAAAGTTCTCAATAATATTACATTTATCGAAAATGTAGATGTTAAACTATTTGAAACCATGATGTTTATTTACAACTATTGGGGTGGCCAACCTGCGGCTCGCGAGCCACATGCGGCTCTTTGAAGGATTATTTGTGGCTCTCAATAAATGTACCCGAGTTCCCTTTTCTTTTTTGTGTTATTATATTTTAAAAAATTATTATCGTTCCGTATGTGTTTCAAAATGTCTTTTAAATTACTAACAACAAATATGAAAGACTAAGTGCAACGTTGTAACAAATTTCATTTCCGTCCAACTTAAGAATGATATGACTCATTGAAAACTGCGCGAACAAACATAAACAGTGGCGTAATCGTCCGTTATTGACCGACTCCAGACCGATTTTGAATTTGTAAACTGTCATTGCAACAGACAGTTGTCATTGTGCTCTGGAGGAAACAATTTGCATCACTCTTGCTACGGATATAATTTGTAATCTGGAATTTTTTGCATACCTTTTAATATGTATTTAATTGCGGCTCGCGAAAAATTTCAAATTTTGAAAAATGGCTCGGACTATCAAGGAGCTTGGCCACCCTGGGTATAGAGTAACTAATTGTTAATTCAAAATTTGTGCCTGTCTGACAGCATGCACTTCACGTTTTGGCCTTTGGAAAATGAATACTGTATGATTATATTTAACACAAATGTACATAGTGCAACACAAAGATACCTACAAGAATGTCAAATTGAATAATCATCAAATAAAATACTAGATATTCTTGACAGAAGTATTATCATATCTTAATGACTGACTGAAATGTAGCAGTTGGTTTATGATTTCAGTGTAAAAATATCATAGAACCAAAAAGTTGCATATTCAGCTTTGAAAGATCAAAAAATTGTTAGTTTCTGAGTGAAGTCAAACTGCATAAAAACAACATGCACATTGTTTGATTTCTCAGACTACATTAAATAGTAATATTGCAATGAAAGAATGCATTGAGGTATTGAGTACAAAGATAAAAAAAAAAGGAATTGACTATTTAATTCAAAATTTGAGAAATAAAAATTCAAAAAATATTTATTTTCTTTATTATGTAATATAAATATAATTTAAAAAAAACTATATTTTAAACATTCACAGAAAAATAAAAATTATTGTCTGATAGCACCTGTTACACAAAATAGGTTACCTCAGGATAAGTGGTCATTTCACTTGAATGGTCTGTATTTTCCCACTCCTGAAGATAACCAGTTATCAAAGTTATATAATAAAACAACATATACTATAAGATTCAAATAAATTGGACTAAATGCAAAATAGACATGTCAGGAAGATTTTGTTAACAAAATTATGATTCTTGCAGCTGGTCCATTACTAATCAAGTATCAAGTTGAAAATACAAATCTACCAGTTATAACAGTTCAGGAATAATTTTACTACTATTCATTTTATAGCTAAATATAGTGTTTTTTTCTAAATATACAACTTTTTTAAAAAAGTATGAATATGACCTAAAAATTAAACTAATTCTAAAAGATATTTCTAAATGTTAAAAAGTTTAAGCAAACTTACCTGTTCCACTTTTTCCTTTAAATCCGGATCTAATTTGTTAACTTCATTCACAATTTGTGCAATTCTCATCTGTTCAGCTGTAGGCTGTAACAAAATTTAAATATTTAAAATAAATATAAATCCCCAACTGATGATCCATGAGAAATTTGAACATTGATCAACTCAAGGTTACACAAAGTATGAGGGTCATTCTAAAAGAAAACATTTTGATCTGACAGGCCTTGCAGTTCTCCCACCACCCCCACGTCATGGACCTTCCCATTTTTTCATGACAGTCTGACGCTAAGAGCACGCCGCAATGATCGTTTACTATTTATAGTATGACTTTGAAATGTGTGGCAAAATTAAAGATCCCACCAAGTGTGAGATTTGTAGTGTAATACACTTTTTGAATGTGAAAAAAGTCCACCCTATCGAAATTTACAGACAGATATCCAAAGTTTATGGTAATGTGATAAATGAAGCTTCAGTTCAAAAATGGTGCATCATGTTTACTGGTGGGTGAATGAATATTTATGATAAATGCTCAGACCGACCGTCAGTTGTGACTGATGAACTCAAATCAAGGATTGAGGAAAAAATTAAATAGGATATATATTTCACTATAGATGGACTCAATTCGTTCTTTCCCAAAATTTCAAGAACAGTTCTTTATGGCATTGTTAGTGGTGATTTGGGCTACAGAAAAGTGTGCCAGGTGGGTTCCTCGACTTTTGACAGATGAACACAAACAAAATCGGATGGAAGCTGCACCAACTTTTCTCAGTCAGTACAACAAGGATGGCAAGGTGTTTTTGAACCACATTGTTACAGGTGATGAAACCTGGATTTCGCATAAAACTCCAGAAACAAAGCATCAGTCAATGGAATGATTCCAGATAAAAAAAAAAAAGCCAAACAAATTCTGAGCACCAAAAAGGTTATGGCTACAGTGTTTTAGGATCAAAAGGGCATCCTACTTGTTCACTACATGCCTAGAGGGGAGACCATAAATGCAGCAGCCTATTATCAGACTCTTCACCATCTATGCTGTGCCATTCAAAACAAACAGCGGGGGTTGTTGTCCAGAGGCAATGTTCTTCTTCAGGATAACACACATTCGCATGCTGCTGCATTGATGAAGAACTTGCTTCTGCAGTTTAAGTGGGAAGTTTTTGAACATCCTCCTTACAGTCTAGACTTGGCTCTGAGTGATTACTATCTTTTCCCAAAACTGAAGGATTTTTTGGCCAGTAATCACTATGGAAGTGACAACAAACTGAGAGAGACTGTTAATGACTGGTTCAAGAATTTGGCAATAACTGAGTGTGCAGAAGGCATAGAAAAGCTGGTGATACACTATGACAAATGTTTAAATTTGTATGGCAAATACGTTGAAAAATAGCTAAAGTATTACACGTGTTGTAAAATAAGTTTTGTTTCATTATCTTAAATAAAAATATCTAGAGAAACAAACATTCTTTACTTTTAGAATGACCTTCATATTACGAAAGAAATGCAAAATTCTTGGTTGCTTTTTATCACTCATTGAGGGTTTTTTTTTATTCAAATCTAAAACTATACACAAAATGACTTGTCAATAAATAATAATGTCACTAAACCAATAAATAATGTTGTGAGTGTGATTGTTGTCCTTCATGGAAAAGATCCAAGAATCCTTAAATTACTTTCAGCAGCAACAAACTTCACCCTAATTTGTTATAATAAAACAAGCAAATTCCATATTAAGTAAAAGTAAAATAGAACCTTTGTGATAATTATTCTGTAGATGTTTGTATTGGTTAAAAAAATTTATGATAGTGGTCTGTGAGGTCAGAAACGTTGGCGACTGCTGTTCTAAAATATGTAGTTCACTTAATTTTAGTTTTGGAAATTACTATGGAATTGAATTGAAACTTTATAATTTTGTAAAATGATATATACTGCTGCACATGAATTAAGAAAGACATATTCAAATATTTAAATAAAATTTGCAGACTATCAAACTGCACTGAACACATTGGTATTTCACTGAAAACTAAGATGTGTCAATTTCCAATGTAATTAAAATAAAATGTGAGTATGTAATCTTCTTTAGACATTGATAGTATTTAGACTTTTACTTAAACTCTACTTGAAATTAATAACTCCTTACAGGGGAAAATTTTTGAATTAAAATAATGTAGCTTCTGGTTGCATGGAAGTTCATATACAGTTAATCAGGCTTCCTGCCCCTACACTTTCCATATCTGGTCTCAGATTTCATCTAACTCCATTCTTGAGATTAAGGAAAGAAGACAGTGGGAATTTACATGTCTACAATTTTTTCAAATCACATCCCAATAAAATGTGAGACTTGTACAGAGCAGTTAAAGTTGACCCATACAATGATTTCTCAATGCTTCCAATAACGTGGTTCAGGAACTAAGTAGGGAGCCAGATACTCCCATTCCTCCTTCAGCAGAGCTGATAAGTTGTTCCCAGAAGAGTGACTTGTAAGAAGCCATAATAAAATATCCCAAACATGTTTGATGGCTACATACCAACATAATGCCGAAAATCTATCGGGCTAGTTTAATGCTAATTATTAAATAAATTACGTAATCAATTTGGCACTAGAGGTAAGCGTTAGGCACCATCTCTTATTAATATTAATAATTATAAATAAATTAATTAATTTAAATAATTTAGAACCGCTGGGAGAAAGAAAGAAAGAAAAGAAAAGAAAAGAAAAGAAAAAAAAATCGGCCTGGAGCGGGACTCAAACCCACAATTCCTGCTTACCGTGCAGATGCGTTGCCAGTTACGCTATCCGGACCTCCAGTCCGATCTCCTCTTCCAGCGTATATAAGCTAACTATATAACCATTGACGGTTATATAGCGTAACTGGCAATGCATCTGCACGGTAAGCAGGAGTTGTGGGTTCGAGTCCCGCTCCGGGCCGATTTTTTCTCCCAGCGGTTCTAAATTATTTAAATTAATTAATTTATTTATAATTATTAATATTAATAAGAGATGGCGCCTAACGCTTACCTCTAGTGCCAAATTGATTACGTAATTTATTTAATAATTAGCATTAAACTAGCCCGATAGATTTTCGGCATTATGTTGGTATGTAGCTATATTGTATATCGGGTTTGGAGATGTTTGTATATGTTTGATGGCTAAAGATCTGAAGAGCTGGCTGGCCAATTCATTCTTTGTATATCTTCATTTTAAAGTTAAACCTTATTCTACCACAATTATCATCATAAAAACAGTTTGGACAAACAGCACTTTGAAACATGTAGTTCTAGAACTACTGTACATGTATACTTAGGAATTTTAATTTTAAAAAACCAGCTATTTTTAAAACCGCCAAAACATGAAACTTTCTTAATTTATACAAACCACCAGTGTTGTCCTTTTATAATATTGAACTAAAAACAAACAATAAGCTTTAACTCAACAAAATAAAATGTAAAAATTGCAACAAAACTTTGCCTCATTACCAAACATTTTAGATGAGAACATTACTTCACAGGACAATTATATTAGAATTTGCTCTAGTAAGCACAAAATTAGAACAAAATTATGTTACATCTGTATGTAATCCTATTTTTAATACAGTAGAATACATCAAAAACACAACACCTTAATTTGCTGAGAAAAACTTTTAATGAAAATGTTAGCTTTTCATTAAAAGTTTTTCTCAGCAAATTAAGGTGTTGTGTTTTTGATTTACATACAGTCGACCCCCCTATAAGATATAGATACGTTCCAATTTATTAGGAATCTGATTTCTTACAAGTCGTTCCAATCACAGCCCGACACGTGTCAAGTTTACGGACTATGGCTGATTGAAAGGTTTTCTTCCGTAAAATTAATCGATTCTACACTAATCCGACTCAACATTTCCAAAATACGTATATTTTTTCGTAGTTTTATAGGAATCGTAATTATAGGGGGATCGACTGTACAAGTGCTGAGTGAGAGTACACAGTCACAGTAGAATACTTTTTTGTAAATCACTCTGATGATTAAGACCAAGATAGTTACATGCTAAAAACATGCATTCATATGTGCATTAATAAAATAACAAATATACAATAAAATATGCTAACATGAATTTATTTATTTGCACCAAAAATTATTAGATTTTACTAATAATAATTATTGTATAATAAGCAATTTTTACATGTCTAGTTTGGCTCAACAGTTTTCCATTGTCTAAGTGGCAAAAACATGCTTTACATTAGATAATTTAATGTAATGACTTAGGTACAAAACATGTCTGAATATTTTGTATAGTTTCTGGATTCCTGGATTTCTTAGAAGTATGTCTCAGCTTTTTCTTTGCTATCTTAGCTATTGGATTCTATGCATTTTCCAGTTTTTCAGAAACTTACTAAATTAGATGCAAGGAAGTATTGAGCAGTTGGCTTTGCTTTTGTAGTTTCATTATTGCATCAGTGAGACAATGAAAACTGGATCTAATGTATTCAAAATCATTTTTGCTGAGCTTCTACTATGCAATTTTTGAGAATTCCTAATTGCAGCAGCATCAATGGTTTAAAAGATATCCATGATATATTTTTTATTCTATCAAAATTGTACAGTAAAGCACTGTCTACAACTACATCCCCTATTTGGGACAATAGTGAAGGCAATCCAGGAATAAACCTCAAACTATTGAACTCAAATAAAAGCTTTGGAAAAATTTTGACATTTACAGTAGAGCCTCGATTATCCGACCCCCGATTAACCGACATCTCGGTTAACCGACCGTCCTAGTCGGCAAATTCAAATGTCCACTAGTGATGTGGCGCTACAATATTTGGCTATGTCTTAGCTACTTTAATATTATTTTTACGTGTTTTAGCTGGCAACACTCATTCCACCATGAAAGGGAGCCAGTATTTAAATGAGGCTTAATTTTCTAATTTTCAACGATACAATAGCAACGATTATCATTTTAAAAAATTTTTATTAGGCTTAACATCGATGAAAATTCAACGCTAAATAGGTTAATAGCAATATACTAATATACTAATTACATGGGATATAATAATATACTACACTAATAATACATTTTTTCATACTTTTCGGTTATCCGACTTTTCAATTATCCGACCAACCCCAGTCCCCAATTGGGTCGGATAATCGAGACTCTACTGTAATGGATTTTTTCATACTTTTCGGTTATCCGACTTTTCAATTATCCGACCAACCCCAGTCCCCAATTGGGTCGGATAATCGAGGCTCTACTGTACTACTAGTAAATCTACACTAAAATATTGGTCCTACACAGTTTTACACATGATGTAGATTATGAACTAGGTAAGTAAGGTGCAAAAGCTTTGTACATAAGATTTTCATCCTCTGCAGCCTTCATTATGTACAGAGTAAGGTTGCTGATAAAAGTACTTTCACACAGATTTCTTTGGGCAACAAAATACTGTTTTTTCTGATTAGTTTTCTTAAATTTGCTGAACCAAGTCATTAGTATAATAAGTCATAGTTAAAAAAGTAATTTAATATTTTTGAAGTCTAACTAATTTATAAAATAGTCATCATATATTATTATTTTTTTTGTTTGAATTTTAATGTAAAAGGAAGTAACTGTTGTCTATTTATTAAAAATTTATTTTTTAGTGATTCATAATCACACTCTAAGACTATTAATTATCTTGACTTTTGTGTTCATATTTTTCTTTCAGCAGTCATTTCTAGAATGTGACACACTTCATTGTTTTCCACTATCACAAGAAGCTGGTAATGATAATTAATAGTATGTAAATGCATCATTCATAATATTACAATTACATTTCATTTGCAAAACTTTTTTCTTGAAATCACTATTATAGTGAAATATGTGATGTCAACTCATTTTTGAAATTCTTACATAAACAGTTGAAACATTGCCTTAAAAAATCAAAATTGTATGTTTTGACCCAAGAAAAATTTTCTCCATTAACTGACTGTTATCATTTGACATTAATATTACTTAATGTTACAGTCCATTTCAAAATTATAAACACACCCAACATTTTTCAATAACAAAAACATTAACTATAGCAGGGGTGTCCAACCTGCGGGCAAGTTCCAATGTGGCAATAAACGTGTAAGCAAAACCGACAAATTTTTTATTTATTTATTTCAATGACATAAACCTCAAAAAAGAAGTTTCACAAAGCTGTAAACCTTTATACATATTTTACTTTTTAATTAATAGAAAGGAAATATTTTCAAATACTTGAATTGTGTGAATGAGGAAGGAATACTAAATAAAGCTGAAGTCGTGACTCACGATTACAGCCCCAAATTTGAGATAAGAAGAGAAAGGCAAAAGAATAAAAAGAATTGAGAAAGGTTGGAAAATTAATGATCAATATTTGCATAACAGAAGGTCTATTTAACCTTTATCACTTCTTTATTTTTTGACCTTTCTCTCCTTTCCCTGAATTTAGGTCTATAATCCTTTGAATACCAACTCTAGCTTTATATAATATTCCTTTCAGCGTTGCAAGATTTGGCAACTTTGTGCCAAATTTGGCTACCCTTTTTTTACTTTGGCGTAAGAAACATCATTTGGCATATTGGCTACATTTTGGGCTACATATTATTTATAAATACATTTGTTGAATAAAAATGCACTTTAAAATGGTGTTTCGTTGTTTTTTTTATTAATTAAAGACCCCAAATAAAACAAATATTTGTGTTTTTCAAATAAATTTTTGTTTGTCTCCTTTATAATAAACTAGAACAGCGATTCCCAACCTGTGGTACGCGTACCCCTAGGGGTACACGATAGGTTGTTTAGGGGTACAGAAAAAAGTTAGTTATTATGAGCAGAAAAAATAATATATTATGTATCACAAACTAATAGTATTAAAAAATTATTAGATAAAAAAATGTTCCTTGCAACAATCACAACTTTATTATACATTTTTTCTTTTAGGTTTTTTCTCTTTAATTTAAAGTTACAATATGTAAAATTAACAATATGGTTACTCACTAAATTTCTTAAATGAGGGGTACAATCTAGAGATATGACATGTCACGGGGTACAATCCAGAGATATGACATGTCACGGGGTACGCTAATGAAAAAAGGTTGGGAACCACTGAACTAGAAGACCCCGCCACGCGTTGTTGTGGCTCAAAATGTATCTATTATAAATGTATAACACTTACCCCGTGGGAAGAGGAAAATTTTTCGATAGATTTCTTCTTAGTGTACATTCTGTTGATGTACCCTATTAAAATGCAATCAAAAATGCAAAAACCAGCATCTAAAATAATATAATAGAAGCCAAGTTCTTCACGGCAAGCCTTAATTCTGTCCCTCTCCCCCGCGGTTGAATATCGAAAAATTCCTTCATAGCGTACATTCTGTTGATGTACCCTATTAAAACGCAAAAACCTGCATCTAAAATAGTATAAATAGAAGCAGAGTTCTTTACCATAAGCCTTAATCCTAACCATCTCCCTTCAAGTGAGGGGAATTTAGACATGTATATTATGTATATAATTCGTCTCTGTAATCCAAAAAATTCGGTAGACGGACTCACAGCAAAACTCTTAGTTAGGAACTCACTTTTATTCTTTAAAAAATGACACATGCATTTCAGGTTGCATATGTCATTTTTTAAAGAATAAAAGTGAGTTCCTAACTAAGAGTTTTGCTGTGAGTCCATCTACCGAATTTTTTGGATTACAGAGACGAATTATATACATAGTAACATACAGCAGTCCAGTTATATAATGTATATTATATAAAAACACATGCGTATTCAAATGCAACATTGAGTCAAAAATTCAAAGGAATCAGTAGGAACAAACGAACATTACATTTTTATTTATATAAATAGATAGAAAATTATCTGCTTTAGTTCATTTTCACAGAAAAGCATAATAATGCCTCACAGAAAAGCAAACTTAGGGCGTCATACTCGTAGCGCCATCTGTTAGACATAAAAGCCTTAACCTAGAATGTTTATCGGAATAATATACAGCCTATGTCACCCTGAGGTTCCATTCTAAATATTGGTGAAAGAATTTTTGAAATCGGATGAGTAGTTTCGGAGATTATCTGCTGCAAACAAACTTACATACATACATACATACATTACCTCTTTATAATATTAGTATAGATAAATTTATCTAGTTCTAAGTAGAAATTAAAAGTGTCTGTAGAAGTAATTTTTAAAAATATTTTTTCGTGATAAAGTTTTAATACTTATTACTATAATCTACATATGTAAATTCTTCTTTAAATATACTTGTATATTTAAGGATTGGGCCACAATATACTTGTGGCCCAGAACTCCATGACTTCTTCAAATGTGGCCCAGAGAAACAAAAAGGTTGGACACCCCTGAACTATATATAGTAATGTATTTATTATATTAGTATGCTGTTTACATCATCAATTTAAAGATTTTCTGAAATTTTTAGAGCAATCTGACAATTACAAAAAAATTTATCACAGATTTTCAATTTTTGAGTATTTCAAATGTAAAAACACAGGTGCATAAAATTAGTATAATAATTTTTTTTTTAATTATTGGTTTAATTGATTGCCACCAGAGAGGAGTATCACTCATTATTAAAAAAATGGTGTCAATTTTAAGAGGTTTTTTGTAATTTTAAACAATGCCTCATGGAAAAACACTAACATAATTGGAAATACATGAAATTTACCAACTAAAAGTATCAGGACAATCCCTAAGATAAATTTCAGCAGCTATAAATTGATCTACATGTGCTGTGAGAAATGTGTTAAATCAGAGTGAAAATTATGGCAGAAATAAGTGATGTGGAAGGCCTAAACTCCTCACACCTAGAAACAAAAGAAAGGTTTTTCGGCTATTGGCAATCAACAAGTTGTCTGTCAGAGAAGCAGCATTAACATTGCCAATTGCAGTTTCACCAGCAACTGTATGGGAATGTATACATAATCATAAAAATGCCAAATTTACAAAAATGGCTGCCAAACCAATATTAACATAATTGCACAAAACAGCTAGATTAAAGTGGGCCAAAGACATGGAAAGAGGAGTGGAAACAAATGGTCTTTTCAGATGAAAAAAAGTGGAATTTGGATGTACCTAACGATTACAGTCACTATTGGCATGATTTGAGGAAGAACGAAGAAGTCAGAATGAGCAGACAGCAAGGTGGAGGATCTGTGATGGTGTAGACAGGATTTGGATGTATTTATAGAAGGTAGAATGAATTCAGAAAAGAATCAAGAACTATCATATCAAATTTAATAACTTTTGAATCACTTACTGGGTGAGAAAACTGGTAATTCCAACAGGATAACGCTGCCATTCATGCATCAAAGTCAACTATAAATTGGTTTGCTGAGAAAAAAATTAATGTAATTGATTGGCTATCACGGAGCCCAGATATGAACCTGACAGAGAATGTTTGGGGCATTATGAGTCATCTTGTTTATGGCCAAAACAGTCAATACAATACTGTAAATGAACTGAAATTAGCTATCATGGATTGTTGGGAAAATATTAAACAAGAACAACTTCAAAAACTAGTAAAATGTATGCCTGATAGAGTATTTGAACTAATTAAATCAAATGGTGGACCTACAAAATATTGAAACATTACAAATCGTTTTTTTGTGCACATGTGTTTATACGAGGGTCGTTCAATAAGTCCTTAGAAAAAGATAGAAAAACAAATTATTTTAGGTAGATTTTTTTTTTATTTTTCAACATAATCTCCTTTAAGCTCTATACACTTTTCCAAGCGTTTCTCCAACTTTTTTAAGCCATCTAAAAAGTAAGATTTCGGAAGGTCCTCAAAATAGGCATTTGTTTGGGCAATGACCATCTCGTTTGACGTGAATCGTTGTCCACCAAGCCATTTTTTTAAATTTGGAAATAAAAAAAAGTCACTGGGGGCCAAATCCGGTGAATACGGTGGATGTGGTAATAATTCAAACTTTAATTCCGTGATTTTGGCCATTGAAACTGCACAGGTGTGCACCCGTGCATTGTCTTGATGGAAGAGGATCTTTTTCTTTTTCAAATGAGGACGTTTTTCCTTGATTTCTTCGCTCAACCGGTGCAATAATGATGCATAATACTCTCCAGTTATTGTTTTTCCTTTTTCCAAGTAATCGGTGTAGATGATTCCGCGTGTATCCCAAAAAACCGTGGCCATCACCTTCCCGGCCGATTTCACTGTCTTCGCCTTCTTTGGAGCCCTTTCGCCTTCAAAAACCCACTGTTTTGACTGTTCTTTGGTCTCTGGAGTATAATAGTGTATCCATGTTTCGTCCACAGTTATGTATCGACGCAGAAACTCGTCAGGATTGCGACGAAAAAGTGCCAAAATTGCCTCAGAGTCGACCACACGATTACGTTTATTCTCCACTGAGAGCAAACGCGGCACCCATCTTGCCGAGATTTTTTTCACACCCAATTTTTCGTGCAAAATTGAAAACACTGTACCTTGTGATATGCCTGTGGCCTCAACTATTTCACGCACTTTGATTCGTCGATCACTCAAAACCATATCGTGGATTTTGTCAATCATTTCGGGAGTAGTCACTTCCACTGGACGTCCCGAACGATGTTCATCTTTTGTGGATGTACGACCACGTTTGAACTCATTTACCCAATTGTAAACAGTTGCAAACACAGGAGCAGATGTGCCATGAACTTCATCCAACTCAGCTTTGATCTCTTTTGGTGTTAAGCCTTTTAAATATAAGTGTTTAATCACCGCTCGAAACTCACTTTTTTCCATTTTTCTAAATAAACAAAAGTTTCTTGCTTCAATTGACAATAAAAATTAAACCATATGATGGATATGACTGAGATTTTCACAACTATCTAGTGAGACATCATGCTTACAAAAAACGCGCCATTTTTGAGGCTACGAGCGCCATCTATTGGATTTTCTAAGGACTTATTGAACGACCCACGTACTTTTGAAACAATCAAAAATTGAAAATCTGATAATTTTTTTTGTAATTGTGATATTGCTCTAAAAATTTCAGAAAATGTTTAAATTGATGTTGTAAACAATACATTAATATAATAAATACATTACAATTGTTAATGTTTTTGTTATTAAAAAAAGTTGTATGTCATTATAATTTTGAAATGAACTGTATTGGAATAGTGATGTGTAATAATGAATCATGACAAAATGCAACAAAAAAAATTGGACCAAGCCTCTATTATAGTATCAATCAGCATATTTAAATTTTAAAACATTTTCATCCTTCACACTCTCAGCTTGAGTGAAGGAATTAGTCTGTAATGAACTAGTCTAAAAATGAAAATGAAGTGCAAAAAGTATAAATTATTGTAATTTAAAATAGTATCACTTTAGCTAAGATATCACACGTGTTGTAAAATAAGTTTTGTTTCATTATCTTAAAAATATATAGAGAAACAAACATTCTTTACTTTTAGAATGACCTTCATATTTTTGATTGAGTAACAAAATGATTAATAGAGAGGTTGAGGCAGACGTTTTAAACGTGTAGGATGGACGTTCAGTGCCACTTTCCCATAAGCCTAGAAGTTTGACGATGGTGTTTGGAATGTCGAGCGTGATTCCACCAACTATCCAAACACCATTGTCAAACTTTTAGGCTTACGGGAAAGCGCCGCCGAACATCCGACCTACACGTTTACACGTTTAAAACGTCTGCCTCAACCTCTCTAATGTTTGATTATATTTTCTTCTAGTTTAATAATATAAAATTCAGGAAATTTATTAAGAGACAAATTTAATAAATTTATATTTTTGTAACAGATTACATGGTTTATTAATGAATAATAATTAAAAATAACTGAAATAATTGACACCCCAAGTGTTACAGCATTACAATTACGATTTATAATTAAGACATACTCGCTAGTAGTTTCAATAGCTTACAGCCACCACCTTCAGGCAAAAAAGAAATATTTATATGGGAGAACCTCTATATTTCTGCAGTAATGCCATGAATAGACAAACTTTAGAAATCCCACAACTGTAAGTAACTTTATTCAAACAATTTAATTTGTAATTTTGTACAAGTTGACCCCCCTATAACACTGTTGATTTTTCCGTTTTATATGAATTCCATATTGTACGAGTCACTTAGATTTTACACATACGTGAGCCGTTCACAGCCCGGCACACGTATTTATAAAATCTAAGTGACTCGTACAACATGGAATTCATATAAAATGGAAAAATCAACAGTGTTATAGGGGGGGTCGACTGTATTTGCATATATTTCACAACCATATATGTCTTACTAAATTGATTTTTAAGTGTTTTTGAAAATATGACATCAATTACAATGCACTTCTATAATTTTTCAAAAATATTTCAATTCAATTTCAATTTGTTTTATATTCTATCCACATGCCTTACTTAATTTGAAAAAGTCCGTTCAAAAACCGAATCTTCAAAAATTAATCGTATTTGATTTCTTTTTTGCCTGAAGATGATGGCTGTAAGCTATCAAAAAAACCAGTGAATACATCTTAATTAATTTTAATTAATTAATTAAAACCCCTTAACGCCCACTGACAAGTTAACTCGTCAAGTTTACATAGCGTTACGAAAAACTCGGGAGTTAAGTCCACTTTTGAAACTTTTTTTGTTTTTGATTTTTGGAATGTTTTTAAGTCTCCAAATTTTTTCAAAAATTTTTACCCACGCAAAAAAATTTTATTGCGATTTTAATCAACCTTTAATGACGTGCGATTAACGCTTAATTGTTTGTTAATGCAATTTTTTTTTATCAAATTTAATTAATCGTTATAAAGTTGTAGTGCACGGATTTGACTTCGGTAAAGTTATTTAAAGCTACTTTCTGATGTCAAAAATGACCTCCAATAGTTTTTTAGTTTTTTTAATTAATATATTTTATTATATATAAGTTTAATTAAATCAAGGGGGTCGGAAATCGCAATTAAAATTTTAATTTTTTTAAAATATTTAAAAATATAGGTCTAGCTAGTATTCACCTTACTTTAAACTCTTGTCCTCCCCAGACGTCTATGAGAATGTCCTGGAAAATACACACCAGCTGTTCTCAAGGTCACCCAGCTGTGTAAACAATGACTCGTCAATGTCAAATTTCGCAGAAAGGCGAGACAATGGAAAATAAAATTTGAAGCTTTTTCTTCAAAATTAACGTATTTCTTTCGTTTTTTTCAGTTTTAAGTATTTTTTATGCTTAATTACATTAAATTAATTAATCAGTGAGCATTAAGGGGTTTATAAATCATAATTGTAATGCTGCAACACTGAGGTGTCAATTATTTTATTTGAATGTTGGCATGAAGAGTCTTTTTACAATCATTATAAAAATAACTGCCCTTTCCCCCCTCTTAATGGAAAAAATATAGTTTATGGTTGCAGATTAATAACAGGATAAATTATTTTTATATAATAAAATGTCTTATTTTAAATCTGAATAATTTGGCAATTCTAAAACTTATTTTTTTCTAATTAACAATTTTAAATAATTAAAAATTTTAGTTTGTGAAATTTGATAGATTAATAAACAGCAAGTCCTATAAACATGGTGAAAGAACTTCTTGTTAAACTACTGTTACAATATTGACATTAAGTAATGAAATGTATTATGCTTCTTAAAAATGGTAAACTGAAGAAAATAATTGTCAAGTTGGGTAAAAAAAGAATAATGAAATGAATGGTCAAATATATCAAATGCAAGTAAGCATGAGCCCTGTTTAAAACCATTGTTTTCTCACATATTCAAATCTATAAAAGCAGTTATGAAGATAACGATTAAATTATTTCTAGAGTGTATAAAAATCAATGAAAACATAAGTATATTTACAACAAAAATCCTAAAACAAAAAAAATTTAGATTATTACAAAGTCTATATTATACTGAGTTAAAGTAAAGTACACTACTACTATTTGCAATAAAAAATATTCCAGTTTATAAAACATCTTTGACGAGATTTGCAATGCATGGGTAGGCATTGTTGTGAGTATCTCCTTAATTTTTGAAGAATGACACAATCTAAGTTTTAGAACTTACACTGTTTCTGTGTGGAAGAAATTCAATGAGCAGAATGCCTTTTCAGTCCCAAAAGACAGCCTGAAGATCATATTGACAGACAATGCTGCCTTGAATTTTTTGTTTTAGGAAACTAGAATGCATTCATTGCAGATTGCTTTCATTGTTCTCATATGAGTCCCAGGTCTCATCACCAGTAACATGATTCAGAAAGCAGTCACATTCACTAGTTTGTTGTTGTTGAATAATTGACACCAAAGCCATTTCCTGTGATTTGTACTAATCAGTCAACATTTTCAGTATGCATCTTTCACATATCTTGTGGTGTTGCAGTTTGGTTGTCACAATTTCACAAAGCACAGAATATGACAATTGAGGAAAATGCATATTCAGCTCTGTAATCATAAAACTTTAGTTCTCTCAAATTTTCTGCTTTATTTGTTTCACAATGTTATCAGTCAATATTATGGGGCATCCACTCCTCTCATTATCATGAACATTCGTATGACCTTTACTATATTTACACCACCACTGTAACTTTAGAGCTGCTCATCAGTCTGTAGATATTACACAATTGACAGTGAATTCCTACAGCAGGCAGGTTTTTTGCCTGTGAGAATCTTTTCATGGACTGAACTACTCATTTAGCAGGATTAGCAATCATCTTGCTGATCAAAATGTTATTCATCTCTGCCAGGATTTACATGGCATAACTGTACAGGCTGAACTATGACTGGATTATATACTTGACTGCCAGTCATCACTGGACTATTTTTCTGTATCTTTGTATATTAGTGGCATTGTCAATCACTTAATAAAAACTGTTACTGTTAAAATAAAATTTTAAGACATAAAATATGAGTTTTTACACGACCTTGATCATAGAAAAACTCATATTCAAACAAGATCACAGCTCAAATTAAAATATATATAATGATTACAATATAGTAGAGCGTTGTTTATCCGAATCAATTGGGGACTGGGGTTGTTCAGATAACTTATTTTTCGGATAACCGATTATGTACGAAAAAATATATTAACCTATCCAATGCTGAAATTTTTCTCCGTTGAGTGCCGCTTCGCGTTCAATTTTCGTCAATGTTAAACCTAACGTAAACTTTTTAAAATAATAATCGTGGCTATTGTATCGTTAAAAATTATTTCTTTATTTTGTACAAACAAAATAAATATATTGAAAAATATAAAAACCAAAAAAATTATACTTCAGAAGTTAATCTAGTATCAAAAACATTCGATTCAGCACTACACACAGTCTTTAGAAAAACACCACACAAAAGTGCCAGTGCTACCAGCTAAAACACACACACCAACAAAAAAAATATTGGAGTAACCCAAGACATCTATATATATAACCCATTCTACTGTCCGTCTGTCCCGTAACCGTTTGATAACGGACGCTAGAGGCGCCCCTATCGTGTGTCATATTTCAAACATTCAAATTAACAATTTTAATTATTATTTAAATTAACAATATAAATTATTATTATTATTCATTTGGCCCAAAAATTATTATTTGCCCAATATATAACAATATAAATAATTCAATATATTTGTAATAGGAATTTATTATTGTCACGGAATGCCTGTAATGTTCACTAGGAGGCGAATAACGAAAAACCGGATAGATTTGAACCGCTACGATAAAACGATAAGGTTTCAAATAGTTAAGCTAATTTTTTAATATAATAATAGAAACCTTTCATGGCACAACCAAAGAAATACGCCACTGTGGAGAAACGTAAAGCTGCCGCTGCTTTAAACATGCCTCATAGGAATTTGTAATACTGCTAAAACGCCCACTAGGGGGCGTCCCGGGCTACTAGTAGCCAAAGATTGCAGCGCCACAGCACTAGCGAAAATTTAAATTTGCTGACTGGAATTCTTTCGGATAACTGATGTTTCAGATAAACGACACTCTACTGTATAAATAAAATTTTCATTATGTAATACCTGAATTTTTGGATTTACACTGTCTGCAATCTTTGTCCCTTCTGGAGATGACTTTGTTTGAGTTACAGGCTGTGTTTTAGCTCCCTTTTCTTTTGTTTTTCCCATTCTCTGTGTTGAGACTGAACTCATGATATACAGTATATACAAAAGTACCTGAAAAATATAAATAAAAATAACTGCAACAATTAACATAAAAAAATAATAATAATAAAAAAAGTAAATAAACTTTTCAAACTTCAAGACATTTTTGATCGTATTATCAGTGATACTGTGCAAGATATCAGTAATGGAATGTTTTGTTAAAAAAAAAAAAAGCAGCAATCTTACTTATTACATATAAGATATAAAATGCTCTATATTAAAATCAAAACAAATTTTTATTATATATATATATTAAATCAAATTATAGATAATTAAATTTTAAAACTAATTTGTTTTAAATTAAGCTTCTGAATACAGAGAAAACATCAAAACTAAAAATCAAATGTATAAAGAACATCTTGACTAATATAATTTTGTGTGGATAATGCATGGGCTATCTGTATTTAAAAAGGCAATTTGAAAGAAAATGCAGGTTATGTGCCAATTTTAAATTGCAAGTACAAACTCAAACATCTTTTCTTTTGTCTACATCACTCTTGAAAAAAAACACAAAAAAATAATATGCATGTCTTAAAATAGATTCTGAAATTGTTTTGTTTGAGAACTAAATTCTCTCACATTAATTTCCAATATGTTTAATTCACACTTTACTTGATATTATTAGACACTCCCATTTTAATTGTAATTTGCAAACTGAAGTTTATAGTAATTATCCCTTAGCTACATATCATCATTGACATTCATATAAAATCAGTTTATTATTAAATAACTTTTGAGTTAGAAATATAATAAAATAAATCTTCGTAACATTTTCTAAACTGTTGTTGGATGAACAAAACAATTTCAGAATCCTTTTGGATGGCTTGACCATAATCCATCAAGTCTTTACAATATTAAGCAGCATGTTTTTCATTTGAATAAAATATGGTGTACATTAAAGATGATTACCAAGTTGCAAACTGGTTGGCTGTGTTGTCAAACCAAATTTGCATGATTGTCATAGATTTGACCATAAACTTTGCAGTCATCTGACATAACTCCATGTCACATCCTTCAAAAGAAAGTAGGTAGTCCCTTCAATAACTCCTAGATCCAGCATGCTGAATTTTTTTGTGATATGTTCATGAGATGCTCGTGCACAATGAAATATTTATGCCACTTATTTCAATTATAAGTTGCAATTTCAAGTTGAAGTGTTTTGACTATCATATGTATAAGAGTCATATATCAATTATTTCATTAAATTATTGAAACTATAAAATTAAATATATCACCAAAGAAAATTTATCACGTTAATTCATTGCATATAAAAAACACAAAGTTGTAGCATGAAACTATAAACAATACATGATCATTGATTTTCATCATATTGTAAACAAGCAATAGTTCATAGAAGAACAAAAGAAAATGTCCATTGATTCTTTAGGGCTATATCAAGAGCCACAATATTGTAAGATCAAAAGAAAACAGTCACATCATACACAAATCTCTTCTGATGTCACATTGAAAGCAACAGCATCAACTGCTTGTTAAAATACATTCAACTTACAGGATGCAAACTAATTTTAGAATAAATTTTAGGTATAAATTAAAAGGGTCTTTTTAAGACAAAAAATATGGTATATTGTACAACAGAATGACAATGTAATTACATTGTCATTCTGTTGTACAATATACCATATAATCATCCACTGTCATACAACAAAAAAACTATATTCTATAATCTTACATAATTCAAGTTATTACATATATGATTGATAAGATTTATGTAATAATTAAATTGAATTTCACAACGAAATTGAAAGTAAAGCTGATAAAAAACAAAAAAGGAGAGGAAGTGCCATTATCAATAATATTAACAATATGACTGTTAATAAACTTATACAAAGGTCATTTAAGTTCATAAATAGTAAAATATCTCAATCAGAATTATAAAATTAGAAAAGAAGCATTTGAATCTAAATATTGTGATAATGAAAAAAACAAATATATAGTACACACGAAGATGGCAATCAACAAAAACTGGAAAAAGGGGCATTAAACATGTATATTAAAAGTAATCTCAAAAAACAAATACAAATTTGAAGTTCACTTTAAAAAATGAAAAATTTTTTTCTATGTTTTACAAAATAGTCTACAATAGTAGGCTGTATGAAGTTTGAAATGCACATTCAAATGCAGCTATTGATATGTAAATAAAATTTTTTAAGGGTATTGTTATTTTTTCTATTCTCATATATAGCCTTTTCTTAATGTATTTTAAATAAAATTAATTTTGTTTTCATATTAATTATTTTAATTCTTTACCATTAATGGATTAAATTGAAGTATTGGCATTTATCCTACCCAAAAACTTCTAAATAATAAGTATCTTTTAGAAATGAAAGGAAGACAAAATTGAAATGATATTGTTGAAGTTGTAGAATAAAAATTATTTCACAATTTTTATTTTTATAAAGTAAAATATGTAATTTTTATAAATGTTTTCAAAGACAATCAGCCATAAAAACTATGATTACTATACATACACAATTTTAATTATTTAAAAAACTTTACATTGAAAATAAAATGTATAGGCATGGTGATATTAATGCAAGTAAATAGCAGCAGAATTTATGCAAAAAAGAGCTTCCATAAGATTACAAGAACAGTTCAACTTCTGTCCAGAATTTCAGTCATGGTAATGGAACTCTGTGTTATATAGTCCCAATTTATATGATTCTCAAGTAATTCTCCCTTTGTTTGATATCCCATTGTTTTGGCAAGAATGCTTTGCTTGCAGAATAGAAATATTTTAGCTGGTGTCAGAATCACTAACAAATTCTGACTTCAGCATTAGAGGTGAATCTCCCAAACCATAAAACTTCTTTCAAAGGATCAAACAGATAACTACACAGTGACAGATCCAGACTGTAAACTGGATTGTCCAGAATTCTGTTGATTGCCTTCACCATGCACAGGGTTCCAACACAAACTAAAAGACAACTCTTCATACAGCACTGTTACCAAAATGATGGGAAAAGTGGCAGTGTGAGGAGGGGAGTACCCAGAGAAAGAGCCTATGTAACACATACAATTTCATTGCCAATAATGAAATTCCAGAAAAAACTGAACCACCTTCATACGTTCAAATAACTTCGTCAAACATAACATTAAATTAAAGTTAAAGAGGAACTAAACTTTTATAAGTTTTTTAAAACATATATTTTCAGCTAACTTAATTAGTTATCTTCAAGTGCCACAAAATTATGATAAAACAAGTAAAATGGCAAGGCCATTTTTGGGACAAGACTGTCTCAGAGACTCATTACTAAGTGGGATCACTTTGACGCTCACAGTGAGTCTCGTTCTCATTCTCCAATCTTCTTTCATGTCACTGGTTTTGAGCGTGATCGTTCAAACTCCGCCTGCCTCAGCCATGGTGTAGTCCACGATGCATTTTTGGTGAAATTAGCCAATCCAATGTCAAAATTTCTTTCTGTTGCATGTCACCCCAGGTTGAATTTTTGTCGATGCCCAATGAAAATTTCCCAATTTTGAAAAAAACAATCGTGGTTATTGTATCATCCAAATATTTTTTTATTTTGCACATACAAAAATATATTAATAAATGTTAAAAAAAATTATATTTCAGAAGTTAGTTTTAATTTTAATATAAAATTACAATGACCAGTGCCATCTAGCTTCAAAAAGTGCAACATTCACATTTCCAACTTCCCAACACACAAATCTCGCACTAGTACCTGTTTGCAGAAAGAGTATCGTCATTTTGTATTTTATTTTGACTTGGTTCCCTGAGTACCTACAAGTTTTTTTTTTTGTATGTGTGCATGATCTGGGGCACCAAATACTCTGCCAAATTGCAACTCCCAACATGTACTCCTTCATACCTCTAAATCAGGGCTGTCCAATTCATTTTGGAGGTAGGCTATAATTTCAATTACATGTCAGCTGGTGGGCTACCTAGTGAATCATACTTGCTTACATTCATGATTCTTCTATAAATGGATAGGTATTTGAATCATACAAAGCTTTAAGTTGCACATGTTTTAATAATACCTAATAAAAAATACATCAAATAAGACCTATGAAGAGCTTATTAGCTAATAATTTTTCAATATTTGGTGACAACAATTTAATTTTAATACACAAAAGTTGACTCAAAACTAATAGAACAAGTGTAATAAACGCATAGGTTAGGTATTAACAGTGGTGTGGCAGTGACTCAAGTCATACTTCATTCAACCAATCATGTGGTGGTTGGCATTATTGGTAGCATGACATTGCACATAGTGACAGCTGAAAAATTATTATTATTATTATTACTATTATTATTATTATTAATGTTTAAACCTTATAAAATAAGAGAGTAAAAAATCACGACATTTCCTGTTTAGTGAAAAAGAAATCTCTGTAGATTTAACTCTTATGTTGTTAAAAATAAAACTATTATTTCTCTTATTTATTTTCATATATTTTTGTTTGTGGTTACATAGTATGTAATCACAAGCAAATAAAGTTCAGATGTTACTATGCATGGACTAAAAAGACAAGTCTGATATGAAAATAGGGTAGCATAGTTGCAGTGTTTGTTTTAATTGTTAATGTTATGGACAATTTCCTCATGCACTCATGTTTGTTACACTTTAAATATAACAATACCACCATGTCTGAAAATAAATATAAAGAAATTAGCAACATAAAAGTTACATCTACAGAGACTTCTTTTTTCACTAAACAGGAAATGACGTAACAATTTTTTAATCTCGTTTTATAAACTTTAAACATGAGGAATAACAATAACAGATGCTAATGATAAAATATTAAAATAATTATGTTACATTATTATATGTTAAGTATTGTGTGTGTGTATACACACATACACACAATATTTAACATTTATACATAAAACTAAAAGCATAAAGGTTCAAACCTATATCATGTACATGTAGCTCCAGTGCATAGCATCTTATCCTCTTGACTATTGCTATTCCAAGGAGATGTAAAACTTCCAAAGACTTATAAGCTAAACACTCAATTTTCAGAGGCGC